ATTCCAAATTGATCGATGATTATTTATTCAAAACCAAAAAAATCAATTGTAAAATGTGTCGGAGCGCACGTGTGAAGATTTCTGAGATATCATTTTTTATACTTTAGATATAGATTCTTATTGTTTTCATCCACATATGAGATGATTGTTTATTTTTCACTTAATTTCTAGTTTAAGCTTGACCGGCGGCAAAATTGCCCTATTATTACAGAACAATTACGTGAAACGAGGTCAAGTATAAAGCATATTGCTTGGACTTAAAGCTTAAAAACAGAATCATGTCCAACTTGAGATCATAATATTTATGTTCACGATACAGTGACTATACACTATATATTCAAGTTCAAGTTTAGGTATAAATCTGAATGTGAAAGAAGATAAAGTTTAATATAGCCTACATCTCTATAAAAGTGATACTACCGCATAGGTAGCCTACCGGTATCACGCGTGATCAGATGCTTGCTTTTCATTATTAACCCGATGTGTCAATTTAAATCTATTTGATATCTTGTACCTGATTTTATCTATATTGTACTCTCTGTCGGTTCAACACTTTATCATTGTAATCACGTGGCTAGGTCAACTTTAAAATTCCCCAAACTATTCTCCAAAGCAGACGCACGTCTGAGAACAAAATCAGTTAAAGCGGGGAATACCCAGTTCATCTGGAGGTGATTAATTCAATCCATAGAGAATGATGTCGGTCGGTAAATTCGCCAAGAACATGCTCATAAATTTAACAACTGTTGTTCACTGTATAGATTGACATTTACCTCTTTTTAAGGGTTCTGAGAAAGAAAAGAGAGTTTCAGAGAACGTGTTTCGGAGAAAATCTATAGCGTAAAAATTCTCACAGTTCTATAATATATTATTTACAGAACATCAATAGTTTAATGGTATAGTACCGAATAGCTCATGAGTTTCATGGTTGAACGCCGCAGCATGACTTCATCAAGAGAAGTCGATGTAGCGACAACAATGGATAAGACAACAAGCGCCACCGTTGCAACAAGCAGTCAAAATGTGACACTTGAGAATAATGCTATAGACATTGTATTTTATTCAGTGTCTTTAATTCTCTTTGGAATATCTTTGTACGTTTTTGTTGTACTATGCATTTATTTGCACCGATTTCTGCAAAAGAGACGTCGTTCCCGGAAAACAGTGACATCAGCAGCTTTGGCGAATGGCTATGGGAAAATAGCATTGTCAATGAGATTTGTTGCTGCTTCTATATCGCTGTTCTGCCTCGTCCACTTTATATTTGAGCAAGTAAGATTTCATTCATTCATAGCATTCATTCATTTTCTGCGATCGCAAAGTGTTTAAGCCATATAAATTTGTTTATGTTAATTTGAATGTAATTGATTTTATTTGAATTAGTACTCCTATTAAATAAATCATAAATGCCATACACGCATTTCACACACATCGCCTCACCTATAGAGATACCAATTTTGATGTTTAAAAGATATTACGCTTTAAATATGAAATAAAGTATATCATTTGTCGATAATTACGAAATTTGGGTATTTGGAAGGCTAAATAAATTTAAATCTTTAATTGTATACAAGTCCCATATGATAATCCACAAAATTAGACCATTCCAGCCTACTGAAATATAAATCTATCATGATGACCTGTTCTCGTTTTAGATTCTTCTGCATTCAAACTGCTGTGACTTTATTATGAACAAACTAAGTGTTCTAATATATGGTATCGTCATTATGCTCGGTTATGTTTTCTTCTGGTTGAGACAAAGAGTTTTATACGATGCACCTGCTATGAGGCTTTTCAACAGTCGGCTTCTCCGAAGTCTTAGTTGGTTATCACTAATTTTTGTGGCAATAAACAGCGCTGCACAGGTAAATATAGTATTGTGTTTGCTTCGTTATCGAATACAGATGTGGTTATTGCTAAAGTTAGTGAGTTTGTCATCCTCGTCCTCCTTCATCAATTCTGGTGAATTTGTGATTTTTATGGCCCAAATGTGTAAAAATATCTGAAACTAAACGCATTTCCTATAGTGACTCATGGATTGATAATTATCTACTGTGAACATATACATATCTTTAATACCAAGTACTCAATACAGACGGGTGACTCCGAAAATATGTTCCCATGTCACTCAATGTAATGTATAGCCGTATAGGTGATCATTTTAAGTATTTTATATAACGAGCAGTGAAATAAGTTCGAACATATTTACACAAGTCGAGCAAAAGATAAGTCTTCAATTATTTTGGTAAAAATTAGCTGACTATCAATTAATCCTGTAGGCTAGGTGATGGACTGTATTAGTAGCTCATAGTGAACTGATAAAACACGCCAGAATCAGTCTACCGATATATGAAATGGAAAATTTAAGCGTTTTCCTTTCTTGCAAAATATGTTTGTAGCCGTGTATGTATCCTCAGGTTTCTCATCGTGTGCGAAAATGTTTTTGAGTGATTCGTAATTCCTTACTACATTCTGTGGAAGGTAAACTTCACAATCCTGAATAATTAAACAAGCTTATAGACGTATAACGCGATTACGCACCTGTTCATAATACATACTTTAAATACTTCAATTTCAGATTATACTGACATGCTTCCTTCACGACTTCAGCGACCCGACGTGGGTCTATCTAACCTGGCTCATTGGTTGTGTTTTGGTTCAATCTGCGTTGATGGCACTCTTCTTGTATCCCCTACTAAAACACGGACAGGATCGACGGAAGACACTAGGTGGCGGAAATATTAAAAAGAAGCACTCTAATAGTGGGCCGAGTAGGACATTAGGTGCTCAAGAGTCTAATGTTATTGGAATTGGGATTCGAGACTCGAACATTTTTACTGTTAGCTCTTCCTGGAAACGGAATGGCTCAAGATCATCAGTCAAAAGGTCAAACCTCGAGTCAGCAAGTCCCATGTATCGGGCTGCACGTAGATGCGTTGTATGTGCTTCAGTGGCATTTATTAGCGACGTCGTCGCAGGTATTTTTATGGTGACGGCGCATCGTCACTTACAAACACGAAACTCGGAAGTTTTTTCCCGATTTCTTTTTGATTTCAACTTGGTGGTTAACTCTATTTTTGTTGTTGGGTGTTTCGCAAACTGGCGTCATATACTGTTTCCTAAATGTGATTGTCTGCAGTCAAAAAGGGCAAAGTATGTTCCACCCGCTCCATCAGACGCATCGTTTGGTCAGCGAGTGTTTTCAAATGAAAATTATCATGAACGATGACGTCCGATGGCCGCTGATACACGAAACGATTTGAGCAAATTCCACTATGGAAGCTGAATAGCAATAACTTGACACTTGAAAAGAACAAAAGCTTCGGCTGAATGAGCAATTTGATATCGGGTGCACTGTTAGACTTTTCTTTTGTGTAATGTTAGCATGAGCAATACCTACTTCTATGACTCAAAGTCTGTGTCGATAATTTGCATTGTAGTTGCAAAACGAATACATTATGTCATTCGACGGATATCTCCAACAGCAGTATCTGCTAGCAACGAAGCAGCATGCAATACAGAGTGCTATTATTTTAAAAAAACGGATCGTATTCACTGGAGCTCAATTGTACAATACGTTTCAACTTGGCACAGCTGATTGGTCGGACGACAAACCGTTCATTAATCATTCCATGTGCAATCTTGTCATTCTGCACGAGTGTTGATCCGCTACTTACACCCATGTTTAATATAAACAATGGTACTTTGCTAAAAAGATTGAATTTAAGTTCAAACTGACTGCATCTAAATTTGTCTTATTCGTATCGAATCGTCACTGTGATTTATATTCCTTCTTGCCATTTGTACTGCAACGATACCAATATCATTTTTCAATTATCTGCTCTATAGACGAGAGCACGATAGATTAACGATAGACCCAGTGTAGTGATAACTATCAAAAGTAAAGTAATAAAATAAAATTGACCTACACTGGCGAACATATCTAGTATTTATTTGGGTCGTAACTTAGATTCCTGACGTACATTTTGTGCTTTTTACATCTCGAGTTTTTACTTCGGAACTGAATGTGTAATTTGTGAGTGAAATCTTTTGATTTCCGATATGGTTATTAAAATTCTGTGCAAACTCGAGGAATATTTAAGTTTCTTCATACAAAGAGAGAGCATCTACTAATATACCTTTTATATTATATATTATTTTTTGGTGTGCTGAATGAATTGATACGTAAAAGTGGTAAAAAAAGTAGAATGGTCATACAACGTGGTGATATTTTACTACTAATTTCACAATGCCAATAAAAATTAAAAATGTTGCAGAATGTGAATTTTGTATTTCCTCAAAATAAGGTCTTATTTTGATTGTGAATGGGGTTTTTAATGTAACAAATATTTCCTTCTTCGTGGGCTTGAGATGTACTGACCTGGAGAATATTTGTCATATCATGTCATGCCGTATTGCAGTATAATTATAGGCGCCCCAGAAGTATGTGTACCAAAATTGAGGTAACTAATTTTCGCCTACTTTACATGAAGTCGGGTAAAGGGACTGAATGGGCAGGGGGTATACTCACTTGGCTAACACAGACAGTCTCTGACTCGTAATAGAACCAAAATAGGGAAATATGGCCTAACCTGATACCTAATTTTTTAAAAAGTGAAGTTTTCGAATATTTCCAATTTTTGGCTATATCGCTTAGCTTGAAATATATCTATAAATATGTTGAACCCGTCAAAAATAAATAAACAGAAAATAAAAATAGCTTTTGCAAATAGATATAGAATGTGGAAAATATCTCTTAACATAATTGTGAAACCATTCTCATTTTGTTATATTTCAGTTAATTTCTTCTCACTAATTTATGGTCTAAAATTCAAAAAGGTGTACATTAATCGTTCGTTTTATCTTAAAATTTTAATTCGCATCGCATTGAGGTGGAGCAACTTATTGCGCAATTTGATTTCAATTACAGTTTTCGTGTCTTGCTGTTTCCGGTATACCCGAATTTGCATACCATAAAAACCTACAAAACACTGTAAAAAAAAAATTGAAATATTCTTGCTCAAATATCCCGCCTCGGTTACTGAAAATTTCAGGTTCATGATGAACCGAGAAGCTGATTATTCCTCCCGCATGCAGACACTTCGTTCAAATTGAATAAATGCAAATAAAAATTCAGCAAATGCATTATTATTATATATTTTGATTTCGTGAGATTCATGAAAGGATGTGTTGGCGGTGCATGCCCTTCAGGTCGATGTCATTAATAAGTGATTTGTTCCTCATTAGGGAAAGTAATTTTGTTGTTGCGTGCGTCGTCCAAACCGGCGTATTAGATTGAAAGCATTTATTTGAAGTCACGAAACAGTCCAATTGAGATGTTTTATCTATTCTAGATATCCAAGGTAGGCTATTATAGTTGTGGCGATATAAGCGGAAAAGTCATTTGAAAATGCCGTTAAATTGCAGGAATTTGTCTAATTTTTGCTAACAGCACGGTTGGCCATTTTTAAGTCTGGATATGTTTATTTTCATAAACCGTAATCAGATATTATTTTTACCTCGAAATGTTTCAACTTTTTTACTTTTATAACACTTCTTCCACGATTTTTGCAATATATATTAACAATATACAACGAGTTTTAACCACGGAATTTATATCATTTTTTTGACAATATCGTTTATTGTCCAGAATTACTAATGGGTCGCATTTGTGATTTAAATATATTAGGTAATTACGTTAAGCTCAAAAACATTATCCATCAAAAACATGAATCCTCCCTACAGCAGTCATGAAAGATCGTACCCCTTTTCCCCCTTTAAAGTTTTTTGCCATCGGCGTATGCGTGAGATGGAGTGGAAATGAAACGTCAAGATAAGATGACGATGTAAGTAAGTAATGTAAAACACAATTATTAGTCCGCCTATATACATAAAAGTATGTAATACTGCACATTTTAATTAAACTATTCATGGAGCATCAGCTAAAACGGGTTACTCTTTGGCTCAATGCTCAACAAATTAATAACAAATTTTAGAAAACTATTTCTCCGAAAAGTTATGGATGTATTCATTTATTTGTTTGTTTATTCATTTGTTAATTTGTTTATTACTGCATTCTTTTCTTTAATCAATAATAGTTTATATCTTTTCAGCGTAGAAACAGAAAATATTGCGATATATTTTTGATCTGTTTAAGGTTGTACGTCTGTAACGATGCTGTTGTTAGTCATTATTTTTAGAATGAATGAACAATACTACGACATTATTTTCTGTTAGCTTCGGTTTCGGATGGCGTTTAAATATTTATTAGGAAATCACACCCCCTAGAAAGAAATCTCAACATTTCGGACATCTGGCCAGATTTTTTGCAGTGCATTTGATTTTATCATTTTTATCGCTTTCAACGAAAAATTGACGTAAACGAACTTTTTAGTCGAGGTAATACTTTGGCCGAGCGGCAAACCAGATTCCAACCAAGTATAGGACGTATAACCTGACGAAATGATTTTATCACGAATCTTCTGGAAGATAAAATATATAAATCCGATAATTGTAAGCACTTTGTTTTGTTTTAAAATGTATGTAAAGGGTTTTGCTTAGAATTCAAAAATAGCGTTCTAAAATATTGGAAATAATATTAGCTTACGACAGGTAAACAAATACTTACGTTTCCAGCAAGCTTCAAACTTTTTGAATCTGACGGATTTGCAAATTTATCCGAATAAATTGTGCATAATTTTTCTATAAAAGTATTATTATTTTATGAATTCAGCACATTCACTACCCTATGTTTGGACAATAAATTCTCTCTGTGAAAGGCGAAGTAAAACGCAGAAATTATCGAAATATTTACCTTTGTATCAAAAAAGTACCCATCGACCTTCTACAGCCTCTACCAAACAGATTGAACACCATAACTCGCCAAATGCCAACAACAATCGTGTGAATATACCGCATGAACACAATTTTTCTCCAAGGAATTATAACACATTCATGAATTTACTTCCGTAATGAAATAGAAAATAAAAACACTTTTGAAGAATGATTTTTATAGCCTTTCAATTCGGTTCGAAAACAATCTCATTTTGACCTAAAAATTTGTTCCTAATTCTGATGTGAGCAGAATATAGCTGATCCAAATTTTATAAAAAGCCTTATGACATATAGATAAATGTAGCGGAAGATTGACACGAATGTTTATTTTCCTGAAATATATCTAGGCGTGATAATATCGTGTAGAAAAAGCACAATTTTTAATATAAGAGTACTTCACGAGTAGGTGGTTCACATAAGGACCTCCATAAGAATGTGCACCAAGATGGCGCACAACCTGAACGTAGTATGTGTACCAGGTTAGGGTTCAGGTTGTGCGCCATCTTGGTGCTCATACTTCGGGAGCGCCTCGCATAATACTCTAACTATGAAAATACCAAGATTGGACTGTCATTTCCAAAATTTTCGGTACATTAGTCGTCACTTGACGACTTTTTTTTTTAAACTTTTTGAGTGAGCTATTGTGACATTGAAAAAATATTATTGATTGGACACATACTGGATCAATGAATAGTTTGGCTGAATTATTGTTGTTATTGGGGTGATTGTTGTTGAAGATAAAAATTGTCTTTCTCCACAACTATTGGGCTAATGGATTTTTAAATTTCTGCACATCCATAAATGTGTCAATCGCTAGTCATGTTTAAACTTCTCATTGTAGGGATAATAACGGGGAATGGGAAATATTATAACAGTAAGTGGTTGAACATTGTTTATACTTGATAAGTATGCAGGATATATAGGATTTATCGAGGCTCCCGGATCGATTACATGCCCTGTATATTAGGGTTGCCATACCGTCCGGAAAATTCCGGACATGTCCGGAATTTAGGGTTAAATTTTGCGTCCGGGAGGAATTTAAAAAAATGCTCAAATGTCCGGAATTTTACTGCATCTGCAATCGTAATGTGCACACTGCTAATACAGAACATTGTTATTTCGGACCATGCGCATATTTTTACTACGAGGTTGTATGAAATTTTAATATAACAGAGCGTTTTCCTTATCAATGGTGTTAAAGTTGCAAACGTCTATGAGAAATGCTTTTAGTACCTGTGCAAATGGATGAAACCAATGGAAGAGTTTACTTGTTTCAAATGGATAACCTTGAACGAGATACCAAGTTGGAAGGATGTAAAACAGGGGTTGGCAACCTACGGCCCGCGGGCCGGATCCGGTCCGCGGAGCAATATAATCCGGCCCGCGACGCTTCACTGGATTATAGTAACAAAACAGCTGTTTTAACGATTATATTCTTTACGTAACAGAATTAATTTTGCGACACGCGTAGGCTAAATTATGTTATAACCTAACAAGTATATAATCCACAATTGCGCGTTTAATGACCCTATAATTTAATTATAATTACACAAATGGCAACAAAACGCAGAAAAGTTGATGCTTAGCGCAAATGGTTTAATAATGCAGAAAATATGCAAATGGTCAGTCTTCGTGCGCTGCTCTAAATTTAACTTCTGATCTGTGTGAAAAAGTTTGATTTATTGGCTATCCGTTCGATTTTCAACATTCTAAAAATATGAGGCCCGCCAATGACTTGCAACCTTTGGTTTTGGCCCGCGAGCGACAAAAGGTTGCCGACCCCTGATGTAAAGCATTGTCTGGAACATCTGATTAGTAAACGGGTTGATGTGGACGATGATAAATGCTTTGACCAATTCTGTAACTTGAAGCAGTTTGTGGAAAGTTACCTACAAGACGAAGAAGTTATTAAACTGCCAACGCATAAGAAATGGTGCAAATATTTCGATCAGTCTACGAACATCACATGTCACTCCGAAATTTTAAGGATTGAACTGTTTTTCTTTGCTGTTACATCCCACAATGCCAATATTGTAGAGAGAGTCTTTTCACTGATGCAAAGTCAGTGGACTAAAGAGAGAAACAATTGGCGACTATAAAAGGCATGTTGACTCTCCAATATAATTTCAAAGATATGCACTGTAGTGAATTGTTTTCATTTTTGAAATCAGGCAAGGAGAGAATGAGATCTTCAGAAAAATATGCATGGTCAGAAGAGTAAATTTGTAGTGATTGTCTTTAATTTGTTTTAAGCATGTAATTGCTGTTCTTCCGTTAGCATGAGTATCGTACAACGTTTGCAGCCTTAGCATTTCGGTAGCGCATATATATGGTCTCATGAAAATAGGGACCTCCTGAAAGAAGTATGTGCACCAAGATGGCCCACAACCTGAACATAGTTTTTGTGTACCGGTTAGGACTAAGGTTGTGCGACATAGTCATGCACTGTCCGGAATTTTGCTTTTTCAAATATGGTAACCCTACTGTATATAAGCAATCGTATGACTACAATAACAGTCTCGGCGGTATGGCGCATCATGCTAAACCTTAGGAATACGCTTGCCATCGCACCTCTTATTACGAGCATAAGTTTATTTTGATTTCCCCGATACACACCATATCTATAAAACCCACACAAAACAATGTACACAAATTGGCGAAACCTCTAAAAAGGTTTCAAACACGTGGAAGTACATGTACCAGTTTACTCATTACCCTTCTTCGGCTCACAGGTTCGAATCCTGTGGGGGGGGGGGGGGAGGGTAATTATGTGCCAGGGGATTGCTGGATTCCTCGCCGCCGTCGGTGTGGTTGGGTGGTTCGCTCCCCCAATCCGACATGGACTGGTTCCTACCGCGTTTCCCCGAAAATAAGACTGGGTCTTGTTTCAATTTTCTTTCGAAAAATAACACTAGGGCTTATTTTCGGGGGATATCTATTATTTTCATTTATCGAAAACGAAATTACAAAGTAGAGAATGACGAAATTTCAAATATACAAAATTTGAAAACCGATATTCAATTACTTACAAATACCATGACTAGATTAATCATTTAAAACGTGTAGAAAAGATTTCTTGCCACCGACAAGGTCAAAAAAAAAAAAATTTCGCGCTATCGACTAGGTCTTATTTTGACGGGAGGGCTTATATTAAAATCATTTTCAAATTCAGACTAGGTCTTATTTTCGGGGAAACACGGTATTCTAATAGCTGTAAATAGTAATAAAATCTTGACTCAAGAAAATTGAGTAGTGGAATGATATTTACAATTCAATTATAATATATTATCACCAATTGACTAGGCAAAAACTCAGAATACCCATTTCGAGATCATCTATCGACCTCCACGAGTGTTTTTTTTTTATATCGTTCGCATTTTTTTATTTTTAGGAATCGGTAGATGACAGAAGAGTTCAATAAACTTCTCACAATCTTATTTTACCTTTGAACTGTTCAAATGATACAGTTTCGATGGATTGGATGAATACGCGGAACCGTCGTGCCTAATAGGGAAGTGATATAACAGCTGTAATGATTCACGTGTGAAATTCAACATTCGAGAAAAGTTTGGATGTTTTGCAGGCATTCCCGATTGTTTCGGAGATGAGAGGAGAGATTATTTGCAGTGTTCTGTGGGTATGTGTAATTCTTGCACACTTCGAAAGTGCGGAGTGCTCATCAGTGAATCATGAGACGCAACAATGTATCTCCATTGGCGGTGGGGAGAACGAAACATGCTTTAACGGCCCCGCTTATGAGTGGGAAGAATATGATGAAGATAACATTCTTGGTTTAGATGAAGGCATTTGTAACATTGATAAAGTATCTTCCATAACCAATGATATGTTTCTGATGCAGTATGCTTTTGATAGACCAGTCATTTTTACTGGCGTCAGTGACAATACAGAATTCCGGCGCCTGACTGCAAGAAAGGCTCTAATGGAAAAATATGCAAATAATACAATTACTTTAAGTACTGCGAATACACATTCATATGATAAAGTTGACATGTCATTAAAAGAATACATTGAACGAATTTTAAAACCTCAAGCAGTTAACAAACTTGGCAAAGATACTTTGTACTTTTTCGGAAACAACAATTATACAGAGTGGAATGAAATTTTTAAAACTTATATGCAACCACCTTACAGTCTCCCTGAAAAAACTGGTGCATATAGTTTTGGTATTGCGGCGGCTGGGACTGGCGTACCTTTTCACTTTCACGGACCTGGTTTTTCAGAAGTCATTCATGGAAGTAAACGTTGGTTTTTGTATCCTTATGAGAAAATGCCAAAATTTGATCCAGATCAGAATATGTTGAGGTGGGTTTTGGATGAATATCCCAAACTCACAAAAGATAATAAACCATTAGAATGCACGATAAAACCAGGCGATGTTCTATATTTTCCTGATCGTTGGTGGCATTCAACACTGAATTTGAAAACTTCAGTGTTTATGTCAACTTTTCTTGGTTGAAAATCACTTTTCTACATTAATTGTCAGTACATTAATTTATGTTCACATGCAATAAATTAGGAAAATGCAGTTTTTTCGGAGCGTGCAATTGGCATTTTTATATCGAAAATAGCAAATAAATATATGATAAACTAGAGCTGCGTGCAGCTTTAACAGGCTTCCCGCGTAAAAAAAATTTTGCATTTTATTGCTAGCTGAGAACTTCTGCACATTTGAGGTGAATTTCAAGTTTGTAGGACCAATTTGAAAAAATAATAATACTAAATAAATAATAATAAAACACAGGAATACAATAGGTTCCCTGCTGACAAGCAGCGGGAAGCCTAATTAGTGTAATAATTTTTATTTCTAAATGTAATGTTGATGCAATATAAGAAGCTACTAATAAAGATGTCAGAAATTTATTATTTAAATTAGTTTCTTGATTGATGGTACTCAAAATGTTAAGAAAAATTTATTTATCAATCATTTTTTTCCATTACTTTGGTTTTATGCAGTAAACTTATAATCTACAGATGGCTGTATTAGGATAAGACCTTGTATATCGAGTTTTTTAATAGTATTTGCACAAGATATCAATCATGAATATTCTGTCTGTAATTTGAATTTGGATACTACAATTGAAACGTTTTAATAATATATTATTTTTCGACACACTTGGCCTGCTGTGAGAGAATTCATCTGGAAGTTGTAGTTCTTAACTGTCAATTTTCTTTAACTTAATCAATTTTATATCTAATTTTTTCAACATTATAGTTAATTGGTGCAATCATTGTATCTGTATAACACTAATTGTGAACATTGCAGTTTCTGGTTATTTCCTGTTAGAAAATTAATTATTTCCGAATGTTTATATTTTTTATTTTGCTATAATTTTAGGTTAAAAATGTGGCCATATAAACATTTAATTTTGAAAAGCATTTCTATTGACAATAATAATGCATCCTATATAGTACTGTGCCAAATTTAAAAAATAGTGTTCTTAACAAAAATAATAAACGAACTAAAATAGACAGGAGCTATTGAATGTTATTTTTTTCATTTCTATGATGTTGTTTGTTAAATTACATTGTTTGTTGTTTCCTGTTATTTGATTTCTGAAAAGTGTTTTCAATTGCAATCTGTTGTTCTAATATTCAAAATTTTCAGATTTATTGCAGAATTATTGAAAACATAAGAAAATTTTTCCTAATAATGTTTGTTAAACCTTTTCGAACAAAAACCAATGTTGCTATTAAAGGATCTGACAGGAAGCGTCTAAGATCTGATTTGGCAAAATTAATTGGAGAAGGTATATCTAGTGAAAATTCATTAGAGTTGGTTCCAAACAAAGAAGAAATGACTGTCATGAAATTATATTCCCACAAGTAAGTGCATTTTGATATGGTTCTTGCAAACAATATTTTACATAGATTTGGTCGATATGCTTCTATCAAATTTTGATACATCGGTTAACATCAAGAACGCATAACAGCAATGAGACCGATCTATTCACATTTTACTGACTTAAAGGTTAAAATATATTGCAGCAAGATTATGAACAAATCTGCTATTAAAAGTGTTTTTTAATAAATTTAAGCTTCATTGGTGTAATATTCTTTCTTTCTCATCTCTACACTAGGTTCTGAGAACTATTTGAATTGTTTATCTGCAATAACGTAGCTAAAGCCTAACGCAGCCCTTTGGTCAGAAGAAATGTTTGGTTGGGATTTACATATTTATCCTGGGGGGAGGAGAAAACCGATAAAACTATACTTACGGCCTCTCGTCTAGTTACCAGTCGACGTCGGTATGGGATTGGTTGGCCAGTTATTTGTTTCAGATGCATGGACTTGAGAATACAGTTACAAAATGAATTAGCTAGAATCACTTCAATACCTATTTTCGTTGACTCTTCTTGTAGGATTAGTCATTGTTTATGAATGTGATATAATAAACCCTTACCAGCAGCGACGGAGAAGCATCACTGATAGATGATATAGCCTACTATCATTGTGAATTCATTATTATATTATTAATTTTTCCTATGTGGAATAATTACATCCTTTTTGCAGGGGTGAAAATATTTTGGTATACTGCCTCAAGAAAAGTCCCATCGTATTCGAGCATGAACATATTTTGTACCCAACAGTATATACAGCTTGGAAGTATCCTACCCTACTGCCATGCTTCACAACTCAACCTCCAGTGTTTGAAAGGTTGTTTGCAGGAGCAGGTAAGTCAGCTAATTAGTCTTGTGTTTGACCCCAGACTTGACCTCTAAAACTCGACTATTTCCTGATCTATGAGAAAACCCAGTTTTCAATAAAAAAAATTGGCATATTCAAACAATATCTGATTGTCAGTTGAGCATGCTTAGTCAACTTGATACTTTTATAGTTTTTTGTTAAAAAAATTTTATTTCAATTTCCATCATTAGAAGACTTTTCTACGGACTTTTGGGAATTTTAAAATAAATATTACTCAGGAATCAGGATTCAATATCAATAAAATAAAGCCAAACTCCGATTCCACTGCCCTACTTTTGGAAGTATGTATTAGTTAAATGACTTCTAAAATCACTCTATTACTTCAATAAAGACTTGTTCCTATTATGATTTGGATAATTCCATTGATCCTGATGGATTATTATTTGTTCGTATCATATAAAAAAGAACTGGCATTTTAACATCAGTGAACATGAAAACATTGATTATACTTGAATAGTAGATGATTAATTTGGACTTTAAACTAATCAATCAAAAGAACTGAAAGCTTACTTCTGTTCTTGTATTAATAAAACACACCATTTGTATTTCAGATTTGATGCTTCCCGGTATTATTATTCCTTCATCTGGTTTACCTAAAGTACAAAGAGGGCAAGTTGTTGCAGTGAATGTATTGGGAAATAAGGCACCATTAGCCGTAGGATATGCTCTTCTATCAAGCAAAGATATGGTGGAGTTGGCAGGTATTATACCAATGTTTTTTGTATTGGATATATTTATTATTTGAAGCAGGGGTGTGCAACCTGCGGCCCGCGGTCCAAATGCGACCCACAAGGACAAATTGTGTGGCCCGCGGGGAAGTGACAATGCGGCCCACAAGTTTTTATCTGATATGTGTGAGTAATTCCAATTTCTTTGAGCTGCAAAGCCTTTACCTGTGCGAAGCGAACAACGCATGTCATAAGATCAATACCAAAAAAATTTGTGCCTGCAACACTAGAAAACTTATGTCGGTAAGTAAAGGTGCGGGCCGTTGTTTCACCCAGGTATTTGTATCTGGCCCTTCTGTATTAAAGGTTGCACACCCCTGATTTAAAGGTCCAATCCCCTTTTTTAATATCTACCAATATATTATTTGTTTTACTAACAACATTGTTGAGGGCTGATATTACCGGTGTTTCGGTATTCCCTAGCACAGGTTGGTCCAAACCCAGGCCCACGGACCACATGTGGCCTGCAATGCATTTTCTGTGGCCGGCGTCGTCTTTGCTGAAGGGTAATAAAAATATTGCATTTGGTGTTGTTTGGTCATAAAAATAATCAGAAAATATTTTCGATATTTTCATGTTTCAGTGATTTTTCTGGTGTATTTTGCATGTTTTTATAGATTGATAAATGACAAATAATGATCAATTGTTTGCACAATAAAAGTGTTTGTTTTGTATTTCCCTTTTTACTTATTTCTGATACTATTGTGGCCCGCGAACAATGTAAAAATAATTTCGTGGCCCGCAAAGACGACAACCTTGGACCACCCTGCCCTAGTATTTGAAACTACGGTAATTGTTATATATCTTTCACTACATTCGTCAAGAAAAGATACCGGTCGTTGTACTTGTTTGGCTTTGATTTCTGATCCATTTACTGCCGTTGTAGTGGTTTGATTGAATTGATTAGAACTGCTGTAGAAATGGTACATGTACCCATTACAAAATATCTCACTATTTTCCATTTTTAACAGGTATGAAAGGAAAGGGTATCAAGATAATGCATACATTTGGTGATCACTTATGGATGGCCGGAGATAAGGAACAGCCACCAAAAATTCCTATGGAATTAGGTGGAGAATTTCCACTCGTTTCTGAAAATTTTCAGGTGGAAGTGGATCATTTTGAAAATGGCTCTGAATCGAAAATAGAAATCGAAAATTTCGACAATTCAAATATAGAAAATGTGGCATCAATGACTTTGGAGGATTGTCGAAAAGTTGAGGAAAATTTAGAAGAAGAGGAAGATCCGAGATCTCAAATTGAAATAATGGATGAACTATTACATCATTGTTTCATGACTGCATTAAAGCAGAAATTGAAGGATTCAGAACTTCCTATATTAACAAGCACTTTTTACAGGCAAGGTGAAATTAACACTTGATTTTTAACAGGATCAAACTTTTTTTTGCCATTCGCTGATGATGTTAGGTAATTCTTATATGAAATATATGGTAGATCAAAGTAGTTCAGTAGTATAGTATAGACAGTGTTAAGAATTATTAATCATGATCATTGTACCTTAATGTAGTAAATATCCTTGCAATCCTTATTACTGAAGCGTACTCGATATAATGTCGGTTCTAAATTCCATTCTGAATGAATTGGAAATTTTTTAATCTGGAATTTGGCAAATTTTATTCGATTCACAAAGTTTTATTATCGTCTTATGCTAGGTATTGTTGTACACTGAGGCTGGTGAAGGCTCATGCTTTGTTTTTTATTACAGAACTCATGTTCTTCAGTGTTGCCCAGGAAATCAGTTTCTAGACATTAAGAAATCAAGTTACAAGAAATTGAGCAAGTATGATTATTGATCATTCAGATTTGAAGATAATTGTTTTATTCAATCAATGAAAAATCTAGTGATCTTAAAAGTAAATGGATACAAGGATACTAAAATTAATATGGTGTTTTTTCAGACAGACTAACAGTAGGCACTTGATAATTGGTTACTCCGAACAAGGCAAAATTTGACTTATCGCCACTGGAAGGAATATCATAAAATGATTAAATTTGGCCAAAACGCATTGACCAAAACATAATGAGGTTTGAATCGTAATTCCAAATATTTACACACCTCGTTTAAGTCTTCAAGCTCTTTCAACCTTACATCTAGTCATCTACTATATAAAATCGATTACATTATTATCTCAATTCTCAAATTGTTTTACTTGAATACAGGTATTTAAAGCATATTGAATCTACAGGAATAATTCAAGTAAAAGAATTAAGTAAAGGAAATGATAATATTATATCAGTAACCAGGGCACATCCTGAGTAAGTGTATTCAATAATTATGTAGAGCGATCCACTTGCTAAATTAATGCTATGGCTTTACGAATGTGAATTACCGGTATATTATATAACTAACTATATACATGCTGTTAAGCTATAAATTATTTTTCTGTAGTTTTCCCCAATGTTGATTATTAAAATTTATCATGCAGCAAATAGGATAGGATTTACATATTTATCCCGGGGGAGAGGAAAGGCGATAAGACGGCTTATCCATATGGCGAACCACGGCCTCTCGTCCGATTACCATTCCAAGTCGGGTATGGGATTAGTTTTACTGTATTGTTTGTTTTCGGAAGCATGGACTTGGTGGTGGAGGAAGCCGTAACCGACCAGCGGTTACGTGAACCACCCAACGACGGGGAGGAGTCCAGCAATCCTCTCGCACATAACCATCCCTGCATGGGATTCGAACCTGCGAACCCACGCAGAGTAATTAGAGGTGCGGTGGCGAGCGTATTCCTAACGCTTAGCCCGTTGAGCTACACCGCCGCGTCGGCAAATTGATTGTATGTGTACTTAGAGTTTCAACATAACCAAAATGTAAGCGGAAGATATAAAATTGGCAAAGTGTCAAATATGCAGTTTGTGTAGTTGTGTCCCGTATGTAATGCCTTAGCTTCCTCGGAATCCCGACTGACCTTGACAGTTTCTAATGCAGTTCAGTGGGATGAAAGTTTCAAGGTCAATTTTGCAAGACACTTGATATCTTCATTCCCAAATAGAGATTTTTTCCAAGAGGACTGTCAACTTAAGTACCTGTTATTAATTAACTTAACATACATTTATTTATTCAAATTTATTGTTTTTGCACCCTCAGTTTAAGATCATTCAAACCTCCAGCCACAGAATCTACAGATGATAAAGAAGAACCAGAAGCTAACACAGTGTCATCATTTGGAATAGTAACACAGAAGCAGTATGAACCTCCTGAAATATCAGTCATACATTGTGTTTCAGCTGTGACAGTACCTTTATTCTCTGAGTTAGGTTATAAAAAGGTAGGCAATATTACTGCATGAAAGTACCTTGTGTAAAGTTTATTTGCCCTCAAGGCAGATACACATATACAGGAGGTCCTTATCCAGGCCTGTCATAAACTAGAAAGAACCATCACCAAAGTAACACCCTCACACTACCTCTTCTACCTTGTTGCCTTTGAATAGATTTTCTTTGACGATAATGAGTCAATTTTGAAACAAAGGCTTCTTCTTTAATGGAAGCAGGTACACTGTCATCCGTAACACCACCATCTGATGTTTTCGTGAAAACCCGCTTTAGCGCTGATTTCATTCCTTCAAATTTCAGGTCACTAGCCACAGTTAAAGCTGATTGTCTTTCTGATTGAGATAGATTTGCACCATCCAATATTTTGAATGTTAATATAGCATCAGGTAGTTTCATATCAAATTCGGATATTTTATGATACAGGTGTTCAAATTCTATAATGTAATCTTTCATATCCATATTGAAAGATTTATTGAATGAGTTGAAAGCAGTGTAAGCATTGTAAGCATCATCTACTTTATCAGATTTGAAAACCCTGTCCAAGCTCTCTAACAAGGTTGTCATACCATCATTGCTATGAAGTTGACCAGCTGTTAACTCGGATGCAGCCTTTTCAGCTCTTTGATTTCCTTCAAGAGAACTTAGGACAACTACAATAGCTTGCTCTTTCTTATCAATAGGTGTGACCATTTGCCACATTTCAACTTTATTCCTCCATGCACTATAAGGTATATCATCCTTAAATTTAGGAGGGTTTTGTCTTGTTACTGATGAAGCCATCTCAAAGAGCAGTAACCATCCTCTGCTACCATGTAGAGTTTATTTGCCCTCAAGGCAGATACACATATACAGGAGGTCCTTATCCAGGCCTGTCATAAACTAGAAAGAACCATCACCAAAGTAACACCCTCACACGCACACATGTAAACAAGTAATATTTACTCAATAACAACAAGTAATGGCACAATGATCACAAGTGTCTGGTAAAGTAATCAGACCAAAACATTCACACCTTGTATATAAAATCTCAAATCTTTCGACCAATGCACTTTTGGCCCATTATTAACATTTACATTCGAAAATACCTGACCAACCATGCTTGCATTGTTAACACATTGAAAAATAAAAAACGTTATTACTGTAACGTTATTTTGTAGCATTGCACATTTTGTAAAGTTGGCAAAAAATACACAGCTGAATGGAAATGATTCTTTGAACGCTTTTGTTCAAAAACTTACTCATTGTGTTATTCGCTTCAACTAAGCTGTTTACCTCCTAATGTGTACTTGAATGAATTAAAGTCTTCTTTTCAGTGGTATCTAATGATTTCTCTGTCATCAGGAAAAATCAGATTATCATCAGATCTTATGTTCTTACTGCGACTTTTGCGATTGAAAACAGTTCAACTGATGGTTGATGTTAAATGTGTCTCCTCAAGAAAGGCTTTAAGAATATCATATTTCAGAGTTCTGGCTCTACTTCTCTTGGTCTATTCATACATGGGGATGTTATTTGTCCATTGCAGTTGTCTTTCAAATTTCTATTATCATTATTCAGGGTTCTCCAATGACACTTTCTGAAATTCGTGAAAATATTACTAAATATATTCGACAACACGACCTCACGAAAGTCAGTAATCCTAGAATGGTGACCCTTGACCCCTTGCTACATCGAGCAATGTATGACAAAGGTGGACATAATATACTTGAAGCCACTTGGGAAGATATTTTTAAAAAGTTAGTAATTTTTATTTTTTGTTCAATTTTGTAGAAAAAATGCGGAAGACTGAGAATTTGTGTCATTTGTAATACTTTGTTATTATGTGGATGTTTCCACATAGTAGGCTAATAGTTTAGTATTTTCAATTTCCTCTGTAATTGAAATTGATACATCATGTTGATACTAGTGAAATTTCCCAAAAATGCTCTCTCATATTCAAAATATCAAGTAAAATAATGTGTATTTAGAATATCAGAGATGATGCCATTTCTCAAATAACAATACATTCTAATTAAAATCATTTTTTTTAATCTTGCTAATAAAATGTTTAGCGATTCAGCCAGCAATTTTTATTTTTTATTTTCAGAAGCATAGTTAACATTTCTATGAATTCAATTTGAACATCTTTTTGCTCAAGTTTTTTTTGATCTCTTGCAGTTCCATAAATTATACTTTTTAGAGTTATATCAAAGCTGCAAGCATGTCATCAACTGAAATTTAAAGGAATGGCTCCAATTATAAGGACTGGTGGACCACCAAGTATTAAATTAATAGTGCAACAACGAGCAAGTAATAAAAAGGTATTTTTTTAACATTCAATAACAAAAAAAGGAGTGTGAATGGGTGAGATTGTGCTTGTTAGATTGGTCGGATGTTTATTCCAGGGAGAGGAAAGCATAGTACGGCCTAATAATATGGTGAACCATGGCCCTTGTCCAGTTACCAGTCCATGTCGGTATGAGATTGGTTGGCCAGTTATTTGTTTTCGGAAGCATTGCCTTGATGGTGGAGGAAGCTCAGCGATTATGTGAACCACCCTACATTGTCGAGGAGTCCCGCAATCCTCTCGCTCTTCATCAACTCCACGTGGAATTCGAACCTGCAAACCCATGCGGGGTAATAAGAGGTGTGATGGCGAGCGTATTCCTAACACTTAGCCCGATGCGCCACATTGCGGACCCAGTAAATAAGAGCTGTAAGATAATTACCATTTATATTGTTGCAGGTGACCATTGTAGAAAATCTTGAAAGTTTCTTAATTGAACCTCAACAGTTTGCTGATTTAATGAGGAGGAAAGCCCAAGCAAGTACTTCGATATCTCCTGTAACATCTGGAGCATCAAATAAAAATTTACAACAGGTAGGAGTTTTTGAAGTAATGCTGTTTAATATAAAATCCTCGGGTACCTCACCCAGAATAACGTAGTTGAAAGGAATGGACCATATTTCTAATTTTGAAGTAGTCTGGGGCTGGGACTTATTAAGCACTGGCAGATGATAATCAAGCCCTGTTACCCTATATAAGCAAACAACACCAAGCTCTGGTCTTTCCAATGGTTGCTCCACTCATTTTAACTTTTGTAGTACATTTTTTTTATCTCATCATTCACTGTCATAAACACAATTTTATTTGTGCTCAAACCTTTGCCAATTTTTTGTTATCACCCGACTCGAATAGCCCAGTTTAGAATTTCTCCGAGCCAAGGAGAAAGTGGTTGAATATGCATATTGATATTTTGTTGTGTAAGAAACGTTAATAGACAAAAGTTTACTATTTATACGTACAACTTTCAGGTTTTAATACAAGGCAACCAAGTATCATTAATTGAATCTTTGCTTACTGGATCTGAATATAAAATACCAAGGAAATATTTAAAGGGGTTGGAAAATGCACCAAAGCCGAAAAAGAAGGGCCGATAAAAGTTGATTTTTTGTTTCTGGCTATCGATGGGACAAAATTAATCAGTTTTCCAGGCCTGCTGCGTACTATTAAAGCCGGTTTCCATGAAGTGTTTCAGGATTTTGTCTAAAGGACTCATCGTTCAAGTGACAACTGCCATAAACTACTTCACTCAAGCGGACAGGAGTTATTTTTTTTTCTGATCCATGCTTGTCCAATTATTTAAATAAATCTCCCCTTTTGAAATGTACCGGTACCTTATTTTGTTGCAATGTTTACAATGGTTTGTTTCATTAAATATATTCTACTCCGCAAAACACTGTATTCCTCCATGAGATGTTATAAATTCACATAGTTTCCTTGAACAGTCGGTGATAACAATTCTTCATTTGGTAATTTGGGTTTTGTGATACTAAATTTCTCGGGAAATCATTATTACGCTTCGTTTTATCGGCCTATTGTATTCAGTTTTATGACACTCACAGTGTACAGATATGTCTACAAAATGTATTTAGCTTGGGATCAAAGTGCTAATAATTAAAAGAGTTTTCAGCAAAACACATAGCCAAAGGCGTTAATTCCACAGTTTCAGAGTAGAATTCACGTATTTATTCAGGTTAGCTTTCTTCTATGTGGATAATGTTTATGCAATGAAATCTACTTGGAGCCCATTATTCCCTGTGCTCAAGTATATGGAAATGAAAGCCAAAACGAAATAGTATCAAATCTTTACGAGTACCAATAGTCAAGTGGAAAAAAATGATCGAAAGTAATAGACTTCTAGCGACAACAACAAGCTTTAACAGGTCCAGTAGTTGAAGAGAAAGCGATTACAACATAATAACAAAACAAGACATATGTCCATTTCATGCCCATAAGGTTTTCCCATGATTAACATCGAAATTGGCATATTCGAGGTATGGAGTCCTCCACATTTAGACAAATTCATTTATTCTTCTTCAATGTTTAACCTTTTTAAAGGGTATGTTATGGAACAATCCTTTACAATAGTAGTTTTCATCCATTCCAGTCGCTCGAGATAGCGCTGTGAAATTGATTTGTAGTCAACATAAAATATGTCACAGAGCACATGTGAAACACACTCCATATATGATCGAATCAGACCAGTGTATTTGAGTATATTTATTCAATATACATACAATAGTAGAGATAGATTTTCAAATTTGAATGTAGATTTGCATCCCCGGCAGACTGAAAACTGCTTTATAATTTAAGGACTTAAAAATGGAATGTTGAGGACTTTCAAGTTTCTGCCTACCCTGCCAAATGGTAAAAGAGTCCTTTATCAAACGCTGTTACTTCTTAAGAGTTCATAATACTTGGCTGTAGCTTGTGACAGTACGATAAAGTCTTTTTGTGTGTCATGCTAAGATTGGCAATATAATATTTTCGACCAGTAGTGGGTTACGGCAACGAAAATCTATTTTTACCTCATTTATTCAGCAATTTTGCTGTCAAAATACAAAGTCGATACATTTGGACAGGATGAATATCTGTTCTCATATCCAGCCAGGGTCGTTGACTGCACAAGCGGCATTGCTTCAGTAGTATAAATGATTTAAGTTTTGTTTTTATCTGTATAGTCCTTCACTGGATAGAGATATTGTCTTCGTTCTTATGGAGATTAGGAATAACGTGTATAGAGTCCATGATTTGTTTTTATATATATATAATAAGATGTATAATAATAGATCCCAGTCTAAAATATTTGAGCTTCTGGTAATAATATGAAATTTCAAAGCTATGCCATAAACTTCAGACTGGGAGGATACAATCAATAGTGCAAATGCAAAAGGTCGGAGCATCTTCATCACTGAGACAGTTAGCATGTTGTTTCAAAATTATAGTATAGGGGAATTGGAACAGTGGTGATTGCTGCAATCTGCTCAGTTGGTCCGTAATTGGTAGTCTGCAAAATAAAGTGAAAGGCATTCAAATATTTTTCAATAAGTGTAGTAATATCGACAAGGCAGAATTTAGACGTTGAGAGAGGCCTGTTTCACAGAGGCATCATATCACAAAAATGAAAATTAACCCAATTTTATTGTTATTCGAGTTGAGAACTCGGCTTGGATTCAAAAGTCATCATCAGCCATTTCATTATATTCCAAACATATATTGACCTTTTCTTTACGCAGTAAACGTAAAGAAAGTAAAACATTTAAGTATGAAGATAAAGAAGCATTTTTGATATACAGGGTGACGCCCAAAGAACAGAACATCATTTGGAACATATTATAACTTTCGTGCAAACCATGATAGATTACTGAAACCTTTGGGGCACAATCATAAACTAACAAAAGTGTTAAATATAAGTAATTGATTAAAAAATGTATGGGTTCTGTTTTTTGGCCCATCTGTTATTTCACATTCCTAGCAAATACTCTCTGATAGATGTAATAATTCATTCAACCAACCTCCGTTTTGTGTAATGTACCGAACCCATGGCAACGCCTGATAACCACTTTTTTCGATGATTTTCAAATAGCGAACCTGTAAAAAGGAGAGGCATTGAGATAAATATCACAATCACATTTATCATTTTTCTAACAACATGATGCTCATTGCTTTTTACTTTTGTAACATTCTCATGCACATACATACAAATAATAAAATAAAACTATCCTTTTTCAGCTTATGATTTTTTTTCCTTATTTAATTTTGTAAATGTCCAAACACTGATATAATTGATTGTTGCGTAACAACTTGCATCCCACTACCATAAAACTACATTCAGACTAGTGCTTCATAGTAGTGGACGAAAACGTAAAAGACTAAATAGCCCAGCTCTGATTTAAAAAATGAAGCTCAAGAGCCATTGTATTTTCAAACTTTCAGCTCCCCCGCCCCGGTTAGCACGGTCTATGACCAATGAACAGACCATAGGGTGCACTTTAAATCCTATTATTTTTTCAAAATCTATCGGGTGCCTTATAAGCCGATGTGCACCTAATGTAAGGATCAGTTGCTGCTCAATGCTTATTGCCTACACTCAGGACCAGTGCTGGCTGATACTTTGTTTTATATATAAATCACCGTAGTGGCTGTGCACCTTATGTTTGAACAAAAACCCAATATATTCAATCTAAGCAATTTATTGACAGTGAGCCTCATGGTGCGTAAAATTCGGTAAAATAAACTTTGATATGTCTTTATTATGAGACAAAAATAATGTTTTCCTCGCAGCCAAATGAGGTTGTGCTGAAAAACAACTGCCCAAGACCCATCTACAGCATACCTGTATTCCTGATGTAGTAAAATATGGAATTTCAAACTTGACACGTATTGGAGGTTTTCCTTCGATTTCTTCACTCTCAACAGTTGGTAATTCAAAATGAGCTCGCATCAGATATTCTTTTCCACCCTATTAGGAATAATTATAAAAAAATTTACCTTCACGACTTTTAAAGATCTGAAAGTCTATTGATTAAAAAACAAGTTTATATTGAAAAACATCCAAGAGATGGCTCGAGACCGTGTCGTGTATTGTGTCTAGTAGGCAAATTTGGTAAAGAGATACTGAAGGAGTGTTATATTCTATCCAGAGGAAATGGGATCCTTAGTAAAATTTGCTAAGAAAATCGCGGTGACAAACTGACAAGAATATAATTGATGACAAGTCTATGTATGAAATACAATGACCAACAGATACTATCTAAAATGAAGTTCAATTCAATCAAATCATTGAACTACCAAAATCTATTCCACTGCTTACCGGGAATGATTTTATGGTCCACACAATTATGCTTTGTTCTGGAACCCATTTCACACTACCAACCGTAGTTTTGAACTTCGGTGAATCAGCATCATTTGGTACCGATACATGGATTTCAACATTATTTGCAGTTGATCTTCTTTTGAATTGACTTTTCGCCTGAAATTTTAGAGATGAGTAAATGGTTATTTATAGTACGGATTGAGATAGCTCATTTTTAACAATTTCTAATATGTCAAAAATAGATGAATCACACATTGGGAGATTTATCAGTATATCGACAGTCCTTTTACTATGCTATTCATATATAATGATGGCGAGATGGGTACCAAAGTATGAAGTTCGTTGTGAATGTTATAGCCCCATAGTTTAATGAAATCATATTAATTGATACTATCAATAGAAAGCACTAGGATAGTGCCTTAATTGATACTATCAATAGAAAGCACTAGGATAGTGCCTATTGACCTATAGGTCCTTCCTACTTGACTGCTTCCTATTCCAGAATGTTGCCTCAAGAAAGTTTAAACAAGATAGTATTAAAATTAATGAATAACATGATTCATTTTCACAAAATAGCAAGTATATTTGTGATAGATTATGATATTCTGATACAAGTTGCCTGGAATTCTCACGAGAGAAATACTATTCAAAATACCTAATTATTCGAAGGTAAACAGTAGTATAAATACTCACTTTAACCATTATTTCAACCCTGCTGTGTGAATGCCTCTCTATTACAGATTCTATCCATATCAATGGCTTAACCTGTAATCATAAAGAAAGTATGATCAGACTGTACCAGTGGTTCTCCAACTTTCAAGATATGCCACCCCACTTAATAAAACAAATCTAATTTTGCTTTTAACATGTTTCCATTAGTTTATATGCAACATTTATTTGCAATAAAAAGCCAACATATAAAATGAATCATGGTCAAAGAATTGAACAAATCATGATTAATTTGCTTCAGAAGTCTTTGCTCATGAACCCTCTTTAAATAAGGCTGAGGGGGCAGTTTGAGAAGCCCTGAACTAAAAATATCTGATTTTTCGAGATTTAATAATAATGTTCAAGCAGATCAAGCAAACATTAACAATGAGGAAGGAACAGGTTCAAAAATCCACTCATATGAGTGTGAAAGAGTTCAAATATCTACTCACATGAGTGTTAAGCCTGTAGGACATCAGTTCAAATTCCCCATCAGGAGGAATAAATGAGATAGTTCTGTCATTTTCAAACCTTGACAACCTAACGCATTGATGAAATTTCACATCTTCCATTTCAACAGCTTTATTTTTTCCTCCTATAAAAAAACGTATATATATATTCGTGCGGAGTGCATTATTATCAATGAAACCAGAATGGCCCAAAGAAAAGTGGATGCTAAACAGATCCGAAGAATAAGACATATTGTGCCCAGTGCAATGACCTAGTGGTTGTGTTGATAACGCATGTTACACAGTTCAGATTCAAATCCCATGTAACCACTAGTCGCATTTTGGAACACCTGCTATTTCAGAATCTAATCAAATATTATTTTCAAAACGAATCGAATCTTGAATACTACAAATATATGTAATTATATATGCATTTTTTTCTTGCTATGGCATCTCCACCACTCAAATTACTAGAAACATGGAATCTATCACTCAGTTATTTCGCTGGGTATTCACACATGAAAAAAACTTTTTCATCAAGAACTCTCTAGGAAGAAAAAAGTCATATGTCAGAACTGCATTTTAAAAACATGGCTTCAATAGAAAAAAAAGCTGAGGGATTCATCTCGACATAGGGCGGACACATAAAAACAAGATGGCGGCGATTTGACATTTTCGTCTGAACCGATTCGAATAATTCAGTATTCCACTGAAATGCCCAGCCCTAGTAACCACTTCACTCAGAAGGTAATAAATTGGGTAGGCAATGCTGAACCAGAAAGATTCTTGTCTGTCCAGAAAATAGCCCCTTACATATTATAGTCAGAGTTGCTGCTTGTTCAGGGCTTAGTTCAGAGTCATATAATATGGATATAATGTTCGCTGTGAATAAAAACTTCATACATACTGCCTGTGTTCTGGAACAACACTTTATCATTGAGTCCCAACCTCAATTCAGGCATCCCTGTCAAGAACACTCTCATTTTGACACTGCCGACAATCTCTGATCTTAGAACGCTACCATTTGCACTAACCAGGAGATTAACTGATTCAATAACATCTAGGAAAACCTGAAAATGGAGAGAAATTGCATAAAGTAACAATTACAAAGATAAGCAATCTCTAGAAATGACTATTTCCAGAAAAAAAAATGTTGGTGAATATCATAAATATTAGTTTACAGATGGTTCGCTTGATGTAACGCAATAAGAGCTAGAAATACGCTCACCGTCGCACATCCAATTACCTCCTAATAATGTCCGCAGGTCTGAATCCTGTGGGGAATAAATATGTGCGCGAGGATTGCTGGACTCCTCCGGCCGTCATATGGTGGTTCATGTAACCTCTGGGCGTTTACAGCTTCCTCTACCAGTCTACCATCCAAGTCCATGCATATGAGAAAATATACTAGATAGCTATTCCCATACTCGACACGAACAGGTAACGGTATGAGAGAGCGTGGCTTAGTCATCTCATCGTTTTTTTCACTCATGAATAAATATGAATAACCTATCCTACTCACAACATATCATCTGAGCAATTAACACATTAAAATTAATATATAATTTGGTTGTACAATGTGTTGATTAAAAATAGTTCACTGCTCCTGTAGCAATATGAATATTAAAAATTTCTTGGTTCTAAATTGAAGCCCAAATTTATTAAAAAAGTTAAACATGGGTTATATATACATCTGATGTACCGGGAACAAATGGAACAACAGACAAATTTTAAGAATCATCAACTAAAAAACTACACTCACCTCATTCTTTCTGTATTTGATGCCTTCAGACCTCCATGAAACAGCATTGGTCACTGTTGAAGGAGGCCGTGTTTGAATTTCAAGCTTATGGCTTTCTTGGGTGATATACCTAATAAAAAGAAGTTAAAATGACTAAAACATGATAATATAAAACTTTAATATTTAATTCTGATATTAAACAAGAGAGCAATTCTCAAACATATGGACACAGAAGATTCCATATTTTTCTGGTATGGTAAAGCTTGGAAGCACAGAGATTGCTGAAAATACCCGGACGAAAAAACATGACGAAGGCAATCAAGCACAATGGACTAAAAAGTGTTCCCCTTTAAATAAAACATCAAAGTTTTGAGTAAAATATAGTGTCACATAGGACTCAAAATTTTGAAAAAAGTGATAACTTTCTAAGGACAGCAACAATCATCTCAATAGCAACAATCTAGCAAAAAAGTTCCTAAAAGGCAGACAGTCTAGATGTGATGACAGAAATAAAATATTTGCAAAAACTTACTCTTGTAAGATTTTCGGATCAGTAAATTGTGGCAATCCAAAATCCATCACTTCATCCATAAGTTCATATACAATAACAAAATTATCTTTTATGGATTCTTCTTCTAATTCTTTGAAATAATGGCAGAAGATCTAAAAAATAAACACCAAATTATTTAGTTTGAACTCATTAACATACACAAAATGTTGAGTAATCATACTCAATCATCATCATATCATATGTAGGCATAAGCACCGAAAAAAATATCAAATGGGTCTTTGAAGACTAACAGTTTCCATTTATAAAAAGCAATTTCTATTTTGTAAACTTAAAATTTACACCACAGAGAAATCATATCTTCCATGCATTTAAACTCATTTTATTCAAAATATACATAATTTACATAGGAAAGGAATTTCATATTCATTCCCGGGGAGAGGTGCCCCCCAATTGCCGATCATATTACACCAGAAGCTACCACTTTTGAGTATCATATAAACTATGCTGACCAATCAAAGATGGAACTTTTGTATGGTCTGGAAATAACTGAAAAAATTTAAGCTATATGAGATTTGAAATCAACACTATCTTCAAAATTCACATTGTTAACGAAAATAGTATTTCAGAATGTGTCACATTAGTAATAAAATCGTTTTTGTTGAATTGAAATATAAAATATAATAAATTGGGCGTGAATTCTTGATGGTAAAAGCATTACACTTGAATATGATGACATTGTAGCTTGCACATCTCATATCCCATGCCCCTTACCTCATGCCCCTTACCTTACCCAAGGCGTATCAAATTAGGTAAGCAATGCTGGATATAAGTGGTTGTCTGTACAAGATCTTGTTTGGAGCAAAGGGTAAGAATATATGATTAGCAACACAAATAAGTTGTGCTTACCTCACACATTTTGTGCATAAAACTTGTTATCATCATAACATTTGCGTTTTTATTTGTTGTAGCAACAACATACAAATTACTAAATTTGATGAAAATAAAAGTAACATCTCCATGCTGAATGATTGGTGACATTGCGCCTTCCTAAAAATGCACACAGAAAAATATTTGAGCTGAAATAGACAGATGATATTTATTTTATATATTTAAACTAAACTACTGCTGATCTGAAAACAGACAATTTGGATAAAGACTCTCCAGGTGCTGTATCCATTTCTCTTTTGTTTAACCCATTGCCAACCAAGCATAGTAAATTGGGTAGGAAATGCTGAAATGGACAGTTTGCTTATGCAGTGCCTTACTCAATGTGAGGGGGATGAAATGTCATATAAAAGAAAACTATCATTAACATTAGGCGAGATACGTTAAGCAGAATGGAGCTACTTTACCATGGCCGTCTTGCCAGCTCCGGCAACGCCCTTAATTAGTATGTGAGGTGTTAACATAGTGTTACTCCTTCATTAAAATTAGAACTATTCATAAAATATCAAATACAAAATCTTTTTAAAAATATATATAAAAGAGAGAAATATCAATTCCATAGTTTCCTAGTAATGTTGCATAGTTAGCCTCTTAGTAAAAAATATATTGATTGAAAAATAATTCCTACATCTTCTTGTTCCATCAATAACTTGGGAAAATTGTCTATTGTATTCATAGGAATATCTCCTCTGTAATTTCTGCATATTAGAACCTAAAAAGCAAATTAAAATAAATTTTTATTTAAAATAAAACAATTTCCAAATTTTTTTTTGAGATAAAATAAAACTCTTTCAGTATTCGTATAACATTATCAATATATCGGTACCACAGTTTGATCAAATTTCTCATATTTAAGTGTCTGGGAATTTTATATTTCAGTATTTATCCTGTTGGACTTTACTATAAAACTTGGTAAATCAGTAAATAGAGTTTGAGCAATGTTGGCTTGAACGGTTCCCGACTGTCAGACTGTACTATTACTGTATAACAACGGCAGACAAGCAGGTGTTCCTGCACCAGTTTACCGGTACCGTGGTAAGTTAGGATTAAATTTTGGCTTTCACTTCTTATTTAGTACCGGTACGGTACGGTCAGACGGTTCCGGTAACAACGTTACCCTACGTTTCTATTTCTCCAATGCGTGGAAATGGTACTGTGCTGCTGTACCAAGGATATAGATACAATTTTCTGTACATTACCTTTCCCTTATAATCCAATATATAAATCGCTGAAGCAACCATCGTAGTTTTGTGATTCCACCCAAGTTTGCCGACAGACGTAACGATAGATAGAACAGCAATACAGCAATATGGCTCTGAAACAAAATCTCCTTACCGGATGTTTCCTCGACCCTTGACCCCATAAAAACTCTACCGGCATTGCCACCAGCCACGTCACCGAAAGAAGCCCCAAATTACCCAAATTCGAGTTGAAGTCGTAAAAAAATTTACTCATCCTTAAATTAAGCCAGTTAATCAGTAATAGGATAGGATTTACATATTTATCTCCGGGAGAGGGAAGCCGATAAGACGGATTAACCATATGGCGAACCACGGCATCTCGTCCGGTTACCATTCCATGTCGGGTATGGAATTAGTTAGTTATCTTTTTTTGGAAGCATGTACTTGGTGGTGGAGGAAGCCGTGACCGACCAGCGGTTACGTGAACCACCCTACGGCAGCGAGGTGTCCAGCGATCCTCTCGCACATAACCATCCTGCATATGGGATTCGAACCTGCGAACCCACGCAGGGGTAATTAGAGATGCGGTGGCGAGCGTATTTCTAGAGCTTAACACGATGCGCACGAGCTTATGTGGTCTTAACTCCCCGAAGACTCAATGAGAACAAAGTTAAAACACAAACACATAACTAAAAATTGGTGAATTTCAGTCAATCAATCATCTATTATTCGTCAACACAATAAAAATATATCATAAGAAAAAGCATTACAATTAACAAAGGTAAACAAACTTAAAAATTGTGTGACAGGAGAGTGGCGGGGGACCTCGAAAGGTCTTTATGCAGCGACACCTACAATGCCCGATGATTCAGTTTGCTGAGTAAAAAAAGGTAAATAAAACACCCAAAACACTTTCAAGTAAATAAAGAACACTTCAAAAAAATTTATCCTATTGATGGTGATCATTTGTGCATGCGGCTGCAATAGCATTTGCTTCATTAAGCAAGTTTGTCTAATTCAATACAACCAGGACGGTATTAATCATTAAGCAAAATAATCATGTGCCTATAGGGCACCAAAGAAAAGGGGCCACCACCGAACAATGGCGATTCAGTGTTTACTGAAATAATTCGTGTTAGTCTGACGACTCTTAGTGTTTTACGTAATAAACGTATGGCATGGAACATTCATAACAGTGTTGAAGCTATGGTGAAATGCTATTTAAACGTATAACGACCGACGCTTTTTAACATCATTGAAGTTACGGCGAAATACTAAACATTCACCTAATGCTACTTAAAACTCGGCCCTGTATACAACACAAACAATAAACTTTGCTGCGTCTTTAGAGCATAGGTTCTCAAAGTGCTCCGTACGGAGCCCCAGGGCTCCGCGAGAGTAACCCAGGGGCTCCGCGAGCTATTCGATTACTTTTCAAAATACTGACTTGGCTAATTTAAAACTGTTCCTAGAAGCAATAACAGCTTTGATGAAATTTGACAACAATATAGCCTCGAAATATGAAAAAGGGGCGGAATTAAAAAATGACATTATTTTTATAAGCAGGAGCGCAGCCAGGATTCTTAAGAGGGAGGAGGTTCAAAATTGGAATCAGAAATTTACGCGCAACATTCTTGGCAATTCAAAAAAACGGATAACGAGATTTCTGTTGCGTAAAATATTCAATTCATGACCGATGCGAGCATCTAAAGCAGTGGTTCTCAACCTTTTTCAGTTCGCGGACCGGTAAAATTTCAAAACTAATTTTGCGGACCGGCGTACCCTCAAAATTTACCAAAAATGTCATGAACACAAACATAATCGAATGAATGCAATTACTACAAAAGTACAATTACGTACGTAACAGGCTTTCCAAAACGGTTGCGATGCTGCGAGTGAAAATGTCACGTTAGCTTTGCGGGTTTCATTGCGTCGTTTGACAGAATTTTGGCGCAGACTAGGCGCATGGGAATCGGTACTTTTTCGCTTTTGGGAGCAATAGTAAAACCTAGCTCCAAATAGTTCTTATTATACTGCCTAATAAAGTCACCTTTTCGTTTTTTGCATGTTTCTGCGTAATCTTTATCAACATTGCTGCAAGGTCGTATCGGGGCATGTTGTAAAGTTGAAGCAACAGTCTCTTTCTCTGCCCTGTCAACACCACTAACTGGGTTTTTACCGCTGGGTTTCTTTCGGAAAAACTGGATAATTCTTTGCTGTTATTTTGCCTCCAATTTACTATCAAACCTCGCAAAATTATAGGCCTACTGTCAAATTACGGAACGCGCGAACTGCAAAGTTCTCTATCAGGTACCGTACCATGTGCTATCAGTGGTTCCCAAACTGTGGGTCGTGACGCTGGGCGGGGTCGCGTGAATATTTTCCGGGTTTGCCCAGTTTCTGGTAAACAAGCGCACACAAGTGGGCAACTAGGGTTGGTAAGTGAAATTTGTGCTGGTCGGCGGGTAGGCCTAATAGTAAATTCAATTGCATGTCGGTGTTACAGCGCCAATAGTATTTTTACCTTTACCAATAGTCCTTATCGTTTCATTCGTGAGTAAATGCAGGCTGAACCGGTGGTCCACCGCTGGTTCGCGAACCGGATTTTTTGTCAGGCTGCGAGAAATTATGCTGGATGGTTTGTTACTATGTACCTGTGTAGCCGTTTGGTTATACAAAGCAAAGTTGCTTTAATTGGCGATCTGCCCCTAATTAGGTGTTTGACAAATAATATATCGATTGCCATGAGGTGGCTTGGCCGAGTAGTGATCTCAGGTTTCGATCAGTTGCAAAAGCGCTTTGTTAATTCTCGCACGTGTCTAAAATCTACGAGTAGCTGTATGTTTTGTCCACATCGCCTCCGCATAAAAGTGAACATTTTGGCATTGCAATATTATCGTATTTTAGACGTTTCATATATAATTTCGAAGCGTTCCAAACAGTCAAATACAAAACAAAAATAAATTCTAGCATAATGGAAGGCACTCACTAAGATGTGATCCCGTACTCGTTTTTCCTATTTTACTTTCATGCTCTGTTTTACTTTCGAATTAATCATGGAGCAATCTGTAACATGTTAATATTGCACTAAAAGTAGTATCGCACGCTTCCTTATAATCTACCACGTTATATCAAGTCCGTCTATGTTTCGCCAAAGAACCTTTGTAATTCCAATCTCAGAGATTTTTACAATGTGGTTTTCATACGATTTCCTGTTTTATCAAATCTTCTGAGAATTCCGCTTTTTCCCGCCCATTGAGCTAATTGAATTGAATATAATAATTGTTAAAGTAGCTGAACGTTTATGGTTGTGGGGTCGCGAGTATATTTAGTCTTTGGTTTTATGAAAATTGGGGTCGCGAAAAAAAGTTTGGGGGACGCTGTGCGATCAAACTCCCCCATTATGAAGTTAACCGCCGTTATGAGGTCATAGACCCAACGAACATCCAGCCGTTCCGGGTTTAAATGGACAGCGGACCACTCACCAAGTTTGGTTGTTAGACGAATACCGGTACTACGAATCAATAGGAGGTAGAAAATCACAAAATTGATAGACATGCCTCAATACTTTGTATTTTGCAATTTGCATATAATATATTAATATTAAAATATATTTGGCGGACCGGCAGCAAGGTTATCGCGGACCGGCGGTTGAGAACCACTGATCTAAAGTGTCTTGTCGTAATAATTTAATTGTGCTCATCGTTACTCACGTTCGATTCGAAATTACTATTAGGATTACTGAAATGATAAAATACTATTCTAAAATAATATAAACTGCGTGATAAACTGTATAATAACTGTATAACTATAAATAAATTGGAGTCGTATTTTTGCGATCTTGGGATTTGTTAAACTTGATTTGTTCTTTCGCACTCGAGATTATTTTTAAGCAAGATGTCGCCGTTTGAAAAATCACAAGGTCTTGGCAAAATACGAACGATTGAAATTTATTTTAGTGCATGCGGCTCTGTCGGTAGTTTCAGAAAGGAAAAATGGTACATCGCGCGCATAATTAATCAACTGTGTTTCAATTTCGCAGTTACTACGATGAATAACCGAAAACCTAACATAACACCAAATTTTATGATTTACGATGTCTATAACAGCGTTTTTATTCTGACGTGAGTCTGCTGAAACAAAACTTATAGTGTTATCTCCCATTTTAAGTTTTAGTTTTAATATTTTAGAAGGCCGCTTTTTAATCAAGAAATTTGAATTGCGGATTTACCTCTTTATTAACTATTATTTTTAGCATTTCGTCGCCGATGATTATAATATAGTAATATGTTTTTCACATTGAACTCATAATTCCCCACGAGATTTATTTATGACTTGTATTAACCCTATTAAAAGTGTTTGGTATTTAAATTGAGTAAAGTACGTTTAACTTACTCAGGAATATTAATCGGAAAGTAACAATTTTAACATTTATTTTGGGGCTCCGTGAATAATAGTCAACCTTTTCAAGGGCTCCGCAACGCCAAAAGTTTGAGAACCCCTGCTTTAGAGCACAGCGCCTTATTTCAAGTAAACAATATCATATTCTCATCTCCAAAGACTTGGATATTGAAGAGTTTCACAACTCCATATATTTCAGGCTATCATAATCGAAACGCTACCAAGTTTTCCCATAAACAACTCATCAATAGCTATAAAATAAATCGATGTTTCGAAAAACTCGACACTGCGGATCTTGTGCAAATTGCAAAATCTGCCCAGCCAAATTTAGGTCTCTATGCACTGTTCCTTTGCAAATAAGAAAACTTCGCAATTGAAAAATCGGTTTTATTTGCAAAAAATATAAGGAATACAATATTATATGTGAAACTTTGAGGAAAATGAAAAACTGAAACGAATGTTATTTTTGAAAACAGACAATGATTGAAATTTTACTAAACAAAACTACTTTTACTAAACATAAATTGCAAGAAGAGCAAAACCGAATGATTATCAATCCTCCACGTCCAACTTGGGTAATTTGCTTGGGTTCAAGTGGAAATCTATCCACATAGTTCGCATTTTGGCTGCTCTTTCATTGTATTGCAAGAAGTTTTTCTTCTGATCAATCTAAAACAATTCAGAAAATAGAACTGCAATGAAGACATGCATCAAAAGCTGCATTCCGACAATGGATAGCATATTGCAAATATGTTAAAGATGAACAAAGGGATGTAATTCAACTTATTTTACACTTCATAGGTGCTAATAATTTTTCCAGAGCATTGCGATTGAAGAAAAATGCTAGAAACGGAATGCATACCTCTTTTGTGCAACGTGTAACTATTCCTGACAAGTTCTGAAATTCACTTTGTATATGATTTGTCATTTCAGTGACCTCATCTGGAGTTAGAACCACATTATCATGATCACCACTATCATGCTGGCTGTTCTGTGTTTGTAGCAAACTCTTGCACTTTGACATCGCGTCAGACCTTAGAAATATGTTTAAAATTAGGTGTTATACTACAATAAGATGACTAATGTTACAAAATAAAAACGAATTTCATCTCATTTGCCTGGTTCAGTACGGTTGGAAAATAAATATATGGAAATTTTTAGGGCAATCTCTCTGGTACAATAATTATAAAGAATGGCTTCATTTCATAACCACCACGTTTAAATATACATTTGACTCAATTTTTGGCATTGGTAGACCAGGTGGTTCTATTTATAAATTGATCAATCAATAAATTGCTCGGATTGGGGTTTTGTCCATACATATGGCACAACCAGTTCTGTTACTGGTTTCGAAAGTAGGCAATAAAGCACTTATCTAAACATTAGGCTTATAAAGGGCACGATCAATTTTTGAGAAAAAAAAATATTCAAAGAGTACCTTATGGTCCACAAAATACGGTAAATTGTGCAAGCTATGTCCTATTAAATTATTGTACAAAAAAAAACTATGTTCAAGACCTGCAACAACTCACATATCATTCAATACAAGCTCTTCTGGATGAGAACCGGGAGACAAATTGGAAACTTTTCGTAAATCATTGAGGCATTTATACAAATTATGAGAAGCATCTGACAAAGTATTGAAAGGATGAAATATGGTGGAATCAGGATCAACTGAAGAACCAGCTTCTTCAATACCTGAATATTAAAAACAAAACAACCTTCACTACCAATTTCATAAGCTATCGAGGCGACTGTGAAACGAGAAAATTGACTCTTGAATAACAATGAACAAATTTGCAATTTTTGCCAAATTTCAGATTTAATGGTGACTTCCACACTTTTAGAAATTTTGCTCAAAATTTTGACATGCCAACTCTGTTGAATGCAGATTTACGAGTGTAGCGCCAACAAGAAAACAGAGCTGAACCCTCGTCTCTACAATCTTGGGAGCTTGACCAAATGAACTTCAATCTTCACTTGGTATACTCATAAATTACATCATAGAATTGTGTAATATTTTGTCAGGATTTATATACCTATGCTGATTATAACGACTTTGTCAAACTGCTACCTGCGCTAATTCCCGGTAATCCCACCCATACATAAAGGATACAACAATAATGAGAAATGTGACAATTTCTCTTTAGGAAAATAGGAAAATGAAAAAGGAGAAAAACCTCTGGTCTAAGAAAAGAAATACTGTTTATATGCATATAAAAGTTATACAGGAAAAAACTTTTAAGCTCGAGCTCCCTTACAGTTATGTATTATTTTGGACCCAAATATGTGAACTTTGATGACAAGTTTGATTACATTACAACAGCAAAATAATGTACTCAACCTACCTAACATTTTGTGAGTTGAAATTGCTAACTTATCATTTTCATTGAAAACGCTCCTAGTTGTTGTATCTACCTTTCCTTGCTGATTTTTTTCAAACCTGTGACAACAAAAAAAACACGACAAGTTTAATAAAAAAGGTCCAGAAATATAGAAAGAAATTTTTTTCAAAAAGCTCTGTAAGTCAAAGTGTATGCACAGCAAACTGTATAAGTCATTTCAGAAGGAACGAAGGAATTCTTGTTGAATCCATTCCTCTGGCCCACATTGGGTGGGTCACAGAGAGGATGTCTCTGGGGACCACAAGCAAATGTCCTCACTACATACCCTCGGTATGACTACATTAAGACTGTCATTTGTTTATTTATTTTTTGCTTCCATTTCTGACTTTTTATTTTTAAACATGATGCATAAAATAACTGATGGGAACAAGTTTACCGCAGAACTAGGTATTTTTATTGAAAAGCAAGGAACTACAAATGTTACGAGTTACCACTGATAGAGACAATGATGATTTATAATATAGAGGAAATAAATGTGACCTAATATAGCTCAAAGGATCACCTATTAATAATTCAAAAAAACAGAACAATTTAAGAGCAGTTAACAAATAGTTAAAGCTATAAATCAGTAATATTGCAAGGATATTTGTATAATACGTCCATACCATTCAGATTCAGCCATTCCTTCATTTAACATAGCCTGCAAATGATTGAGAACAACATCAACCTGTTCCCCAGTTTTCTCATGTCCTACTTCCTCAACCAACAATAATTTCCAAAGTAGATCTAATCTAGCTTGCTGTTGTTGTAAAAGTGATATTACCTGTGTAGATAAAGGAAAAGCAATGCTGAACTATGCATGGATGAAACATGGATCATTCTTACTTATTCGACAAGCTGAATGCTTACTGAAAAAAATATGTTGGGTGCAGTATTAGTAATACATTCTAAATATTTCCTAAAAACCTTTGTTTAGGTTTAATTAAATTTCAATATTTTGAAAATATAGACTATGTTCACCTTTTTTTAGTCAACAATGGATTAGCAGTTAAGGCGATATAAAAGGTCAAGTAAGAGTGAAATGTTTGTATTATTATGCTAAATCATGCAATGACCAGAGCACATTAATAGGAGTAATCATCACCACAATCAGTCACAAAAGACTCTACAGCTTGGATTTGCTGCTCCCTACAACATGCTGCCTGGGGTGGCTGCTCCTATGGCCCCTATCCCCCACCAGGGTGTAATAAATTGGGTAAGCAATGCCGAACCAGAAAGATTCCGGTGCTTCCAAATAAAAATAGCTCATTACACATCAGTATCAGCTGGGGCCTCATTCAAAGCAAAGGCGTGTATAAAAAAATGGGTGCTCCAGAAGTATGCACACCAAGATGTCGCACAACCTGAATCCTAACCAGTACACACATACTATGTTCAGGTTGTGCGCCATCTTGGTGCGCATACTTCTGGAGGTCCAAAAAATGTCTGCCTGCACTATCCCCTTCAGTTAATTTTTTGGACAAGACCACATCAAACAATAATTTTCCAACTTTGCCCTAAACTGTTATTTGGATATCAGATGATGTATTTCCCAATTTCACTACATTATGGAGGTGGAAAGCAACTCTTGTGAGTATAAAAATACATTGACACTAAAAATACTTTTTCTTCTAAATGAAGAAAAATTTAAGAATGTCAGCCCATTGACTGAAGCAGCGAACCATAAACTAATTAATAGCAGTTCACCTTTTGCTGTTTTTCCATAAAGTATTGTTGTCGAATCCATTTTCTCCGATAATCTCCTGTTAATAAATGAGTGGTTTGTAAAGGAGTTCCCTCTGATATTAGGTTTGGAATTTGAACATGAGAAAGCTTGTGAACTTCTTCCTTTACTTCTTTTGTTTTACTTACGGTCTCATCAATGGATTTTCTATAAAGGAAATTAGAAAATTTATAGGGCATTTTTGTCGTCCTACACCTAGAAATGGCGCAGAAGTCATTTCATTTCTTTTGTTTTACTCACAGAGTCACAGTCTCATCAATGGATTTTCTATATCGAAAATTATAAATTTCTGAGACACACTTGTCCCACATCTAGAAATGGAACAAAAGCCACTGTAATTATATATGATGGTACCATACCTAAGATCTTCAGCAGTAATTTGAGGATGATTTTGTTGTATCTCAGTTCGTTTCTGATGAAGAAATGACAGTGCAGCTTGAGCAGCTGATTCTTGTGCTTGAACAGATATTAATTTCTTTTCACGATCCGGATATCTGCGAGAGATGCAAAATAGAGTTTTTATTTGAATAAACTGTACACATCGTGTTCAATCATCTGCTTGTAGTGGGCTCGGTGGCCTTGTGGTAAAAGCGTTGGGCTTAACCATAATGGTGTCGCAAGTTAAAATCTTGGGTTCAAATACCATGCCCACCACTTCATCCAGGGGGGTAATGAATTAGGTAGGTTATAGATATCCTGGTTAGCAAGAAGCTTATGAATACATCATATGAAAAAACATTTTCAGTTAACTATCAATTTAATTTCCATCTATTCAATTTTTCGTAAAAATACCATTTCTGAATGTAATTTCAAATTTCATTCAAAACAATGACTATTAATTTAATTTCCATTTATTCAATTTTTCGTAAAAATACCATTTCTGAATGTAATTTCAAATTTTAATTAAAACAATGACTATTAATTTAATTTCCATTTATTCAATTTTTCATTAAAATACCATTTCTGAATGTAATTTCAAATTTTAATTAAAACAATGAATATTAATTCAATTTTCATTTATTCAATTTTTCATTAAAATACCATTTCGTAATGTAATTTAAAATTTTAATTAAAACAATATGGGAAAAAAACTCTCACCCAAATCTTGCTCTTCTCACTGCATTAGCAATTGTACGTTTAATTTCTTCACTCTCACTTGCAAATAAATTTTCATCATTGAGAGAATGAAGTTTATGACAATTTTCTTGTTCATTCAAATCTTCAGCAATTGTTTGTGATATCTTAAAATAAATAACTATAAATTGACAATACCCAAATTGTGCAGCAGCAAAAAATAAAAAATAAAACAATATGATTATTGGAATCAAATATCTGAAAAATGCAGACAAAAATTGATGAATGATGTAAAACAATGATTGAAAAAATGTGGTAATGTGTATGTAAATTATCTATTCTGATTTATTCTAAAATTTGGTTGCATCTCTTGATAATCAGTATTTAATTTTTTCACAATACAGAAAATACACCTCATGCGAACAATATAGTGAAGGATTTTGAATATGGCATTTTAGCTTGAAGAGAGGGATGAGAAACCAATACTGGTTAACGAGTAGCAACACTCACATATTTGGTAACTTTTCATCTAAATTATCTAATTCTGGGTTATTCTCAAATTTTGCTACGTCTAACATTGAATCACTGTGGTAAATACTTTATTTCACGGGCCATAGTGCGCACTGGTTATAAGACACACTGTCAACAAATTGCTTAGATTGGGTTTTTATTCATATATGACGTGCATCGGGTACTGGTACTGAATTTTTGTGTAGGTATTGTAGGCAATAAAGCATACAGTACTACCTGATGTCCTGATACAAACATTGAGGACACAAGCTTACATGTATGATCTATTTTTGAGAAAAAATGATTCAAAGTGCACTTTAGGGTTTATAAAATATGGTACACAATGTCAATAAAAATAGAAAAACTACCACTACTGTGCTCGTCATCATCATACCTCAAAAAATTGTTTCTTCACAAAGTTTGTCAGCTGAGAATTATATTTCTCTTCTGCAATTATCAAGTCTTGCAAATCAACTTGTGAGAGAAGATAACTTTTTCCATCAACTTTCTGAAAACGAGAACATTTATCTAAATACCATGGAACAGTGGTTCCCAACAGGGGGGTCCATGAACCCCTCTGGGCCCACAGTTAGATTTTGAGAAATATAAGAGCTTTGTATGCAAACTGTAAAAACCAAATAGCAAAAAAAAAAAACTAGCCATTCGCCACTGCGAAAGATGGCGAATCAAGGACAATTTCATAAACTCAAAATCTAATTTACATAAACGAACGGGTACTTTCCCTCAGAAAAAAATTATTCATAGTGTCATTCAATCAAGTGAATCGATGTCCGACACTATTTTATTCAAGCCACTTATACGTAAAAATATCAATTGATTTTGAAAGAGACCCGCAAACCTCAGGCAAACCATCAAATACGTCCATGACATGAAAAGGCTGGATTCCCATTATTCATAAAAGATATTTAATAATCTAAACATTGAATATCATATTTTTACCTCAATTATACCACATAAACTTTGAAAGGTAGCGTCAAGACTATTCACTGTTTCTGAAATCTGTAAGAAGATAAGTGAAGATAACTATACAAATAAGATCATTTTAGCAGTGTGTGATAAATTTTAGTTTTACTACAGTATTTTACGGACCGCAAGGCGCATTTTGTATCTTCTTTTAAAAAAAATGGATCATGAGCCATATAAGCCAGTGCGCCAGTGTAAGGAGCAGGTAATGCTTCATGCTTCATTACCCACACTTAAAACTAGTGAAGTGTACTATCATTTAATAAACAAATCGCCGTTTTACGTTTTCTTTGAACAAAATACAATAACTGTTAAAATTATTGAGCTTTTTGTTTAATGAGCTTTGTATGGTAAACCGACACTCTGTGATAACTGTTGAGTATGGACAAAACCCCAACTAAGCAGTTTATTAACTGTGCGCCTTTTAACCCAGTGCACCCCATGGTCTGTTAAATACAGTATTTACATTTTAATAAAAAACATTAAGAACAATTAACAAGTACCTGCTCACTGGTTGATATATTTTCATTTTTGTCATCTCGAAGTTTCTGAGCGGATTGTTTCTTCAAACTTAAATTTCCATCTAAGCGTTTTTGTTGTTGTTTTTTCATTTCATTCATTTGTGCTAACTCGTATTCTAATCTCTTTTTCTTCAGTCTGGCATTCTTCATTTTAAGCTCCAATTCCTTATTTTGAGCAGTGTAAGCTAAATTGAATACAAAATGAGTCTGCTAAGATTGTAGCATTGAATAAATACAACAAAAAATCATGGACTTAGCTCCCCTTTTTGGAATGTGAAAAAGGGGCATTTTCCGGTATCACACACAGCAATTTTTCGTAGTTTGAAAGGCTTTTGGACCCACAGGACTTTTGAAAACCTCGGTTTTCCGGCTGGACCACTAGTTGTTACGATCTAACTTCGAAATTAGAAATTTCAGTATATTTTAAATTATTTCTTAAATCTCTAACTGCCTTTATTCGAACATAACCACTTCGAAATGTATTCAAATTTCCCATCGGCTTCGTAAATTCCTCTGTAAAAATACTTCATCAAAGTAAATTTTTTTAATCTTTCAGTGACTGAGGTATGAAACACAACCTAAAAAAAGTGTAAAATCAACTGTAAACAACCTGCGTTTAATTCTTCATGTTGATTAATCGCTTTCTGCAATTCATCACCAACTTTTGTCCTTCCTTGGGTCTTGATTATATTATATTGTTCTAGCTCCGTCGGTGTAAGTATATTATCTTTAGTAACAGTTTGAATAAACTCTGACAGGAATGGTCCAGTAGCCGGGTTCTGAGAAAAGAAATTAGAATCATCCTTTGAGCTAGCGGTATATCCTAGGACTAGAGGAAATGAATCAGGGAAACTGGTTTAAAATCGCAATGGCTGCAGCTCCAGTATATTCAAACAGTGGCTCCAACTTCATTTTTTAAACCTCGGATCGAGGTTTGGGCATGGCCACTCCGACTACCATGGCACATCAGCTAGGCATGATGATATATATATATAAATTAAACTTTAAATATGCAAATTTAAATTTTAAATTAATATCAAAAAACGAATTTGAAAAATAGGGTAGATTCGATTATTTGTAGAAATACAAGAAAATCCTTAATACGAATGAATAATTACGATAGCTAAGATCATTAAATTTGGTAGCTCAGGCTCTATCTATTATAGTACGATTGGCTCCAGTTCCTGCTTCAACATAATGGCTTCGGCTTCCACAACCCTGAAATTAATACCGATGAAACGAAAACAAACTCCATTTCTATTAATTCAACGTAATCTATATTTCTCACCTCAAGCAATCGTTGTATTTTGGCTGAAGATATCTTGACAGAATCCTCAAATCTGAGATCTTCAGTAAGTAACTTGAAAAATGCTTTCACTTTTGTATCTGTACTTTGTGCCATCGTTAATTGAAGCTAAATTAAAAATCTAAATAATATTGTTGTTGTAACATATATCTTATTATGGTTATTATTTTCATTCAAAACAAAAGCAACTATTCAAAAAAAGAAGGAACCCCATTGTGGGGCTTACGAATGAACAGTGGGAAATTGTACTTAGTAGCCTGGAAAAAATGAAAGAATTTTCTAATACCAAAGGTTGACATATATTAATCTCTTGATATACCTATCTATATTATTGTCCCTTTTTTTTCAGAGAAATTTGCTCAGCCAAGTTCACACAAACTCACTTAGAAAACGAGGGAATGGATCTCAAAGCAAAGAGAGGAATTATGGTGCATAATGGCACACTGGACTCAAAGTAATTCATGTCAATCAAAATGATCAAGAAAACAGCTACGAGGTAGTGAATTTCATATAACTTAGGTTCGTTCAAAAAACTTTGAGCAAATTTTTTTTGTCTAGTAAGTACACTGACTGTAAACGGGTGAGACTGAGTAAAAATAATCATGATGAAAGAACAGAAGCAGAGTGGGTATTTGACAGTCACTGAAATCTAAATGTTATCCATAGAGTTTTAACAGATCGTCATCTTCAGTAGGAGTGTTTGATAGATGTTTGTCAAATTCTTCAAATTTAGCTCTTTTTGATTTCACTAAATTTATACCAGGAATATCTTCAATAACAAATTTTCTCTTTTTGGTAATTATTAATGGTCTCGGGGAAGATCTATATTCACACAAACAAAGTAGAATTGAAGGTTCCCTGTCATTCATAACTGACGTAGTTTGAACAGAATGTTGTAAAGAACATTATTCGTTTTTTATAGCTTTGGTAAAAACCACTAAAATTTTCTTTCATTTTCTTTCATCTTTACAAGTCTTTCTTTCTCAGCAATATCAAAATTTGAAAGCCATTTTTTCAAATAATTTACATCCCATCCTTCCAATATTCTTATTGCCAAATTTGTTTAAATTGAGGCCTTTGATATGATTTGCACCATTTTTGCATCGCATTGAAAACTTTCCAAACTTGCTGGTTTTAACAGTTTTAACACTCGATGATATTAATAGTGCTTCCAAAGATGGTAAAAGACCCAAATTAAACAAAGATGAAGCACTAATTCTCTTATTATCAGATAAGTTTAAATATTGTAGATTATTGAGACCTTGTTGATTTCTTCTGCGTAATTGAAGTAAATTATTGATACCAATATCACCAATTACATTTCTGTCAAGACACAGACACTCTAGCTGTGGTAATTTACCCAACTCAAACAAAATTTCATGTGTATTGCCGATGCCACAGTTTGACAGTCTCACAGAGTGAAGATAAGGTAAAAATAGCGAAATTTCATCAATATGTTGTGCCAAAAACATCGGCTGTCGACTTAAATTCAGTCTTTGAAACATCTCATTACCATATGCGTCCATGAAAATACTCAATCTAAGTTTGGTAACATCAAATTCTTTGTTGGTAAATCGATCACTCTCCAAAGCTTCATCAAATATCTGTTCACCAATCAATGAAGGCAAACCATAGAAAGAATCTACATGGTCTAAATTATTGACAACCAATGCCATGCAAATTTCATATAAAGTTTGTACATCGCTTTGACAATCTTTATTATTTCTTTGATTTTCTCTTTGGAGCTTAGCATTCTTCTTGATAGCAAGATGTCTTGTTCCTAAGAGTTGTTGATGATATTTAACTCCGATTTCATCAGAGGTATATACTACATGTTTCAAAGATTGAATACCAGAACGAGATCTGAAGTATATCTTACCTTCCATTCAATCTTTATGAAATAATCTAAAAAAGGTGAGAAAAAAACTTTTTAAGTAAATTGTATATCGATCAACATTATTTACTGGTATTGATAAAAAGGCAGTAGGTGGAATAATTACTTCAGGGCAGTGTGACGAAATGAGAAAGGTGGGAAGGTTTGCAACATACATACTACCAATATAATATAGTTTGATCGAACATAACAAGGATGGTCAGAAAAATTCACTTTTCAAATACACATTAAAATATCTTTTCAAATATTAAATGTATACATAATTGTGTCACGTTCAACGAAGAACACATTAGGAGAAAATTTGGAAGTACGCAATAGTAAGGATAAAGAGTATTTAAACATCAAAAGTTTGAGGACTTCCAATACCCAAACGATAATTTTTGGAGAACTGAATATAATTAATTTGAAAAATGGATTCGGACATCCCTGTTATAAACAAACAAAATCAAAGTATAATAACAAGATAGCACATTTATCACATAAATGAACTTGTAGTTTACAATTGGAAGTTATTCTACAAAAACTAATTTGTTAGTTATTGATACCAGGATGCACAGTCACTAAATCAGAATATAATTTTATTCTCCTAGGCACTCTCACGTCTTAGAATTGGGATTTTCTGATGAGTTTGCAGCACATGGCTGGAAACTAAAACAAGATCTCACTCAAGTCTGCAAGTCTCCGAGAATAACTGGAATCAAGTTTAATGCGCCAGAAATTTGAGTACTATTATAACAAAAAACTGCTGCGCTGGACTTATTCAACAACAACAGTTTCAGTCACAGGTTCATTCTCTACATCTACAGATTGAGCTTCTTTTATTAATTTTTTCCTTTTTTCAGATGCTTCTTTTTTTTCCTTCTGTTCGGCCTTGAATGCATCAAGACTTTGTTTTAAGCTTGGTATAAAGCCTTCAAAATCCATTTCTTCAACTGCTGATAGGACATCAATGTCTTTCAAAGTTTTACGCTTTTGTTGCATTGCAGAGTTATTAGCACAAGAAGTACAATAAAGAACAAAAACACTGGCTGCTTTTGATATTGCTGCTCTTGCTTCTTTTGAAACGATCACTCCTTCAGGAAGAGCTTCTTTCATGATTCTCGCTATGACTGCATTAGGAAGGTTTAAATCTTCTGGTTTTTCAGCCATTTTTGGTAAATTATTTATAGCGCTATATCCCTGAAAATGAGAATATATTTGTGATCAGTCATTGTTAAGTTAACGAAAGATACGGTGAGTTTGACTTTAGTGAAGTCACATAAAAGCACGAAACAGCAAAGTATAATAAGTGCATAAAATATTTGAAGAGCTGATCAGAAAGGGGGGTGTACCAGTGGTTTTTATTCCCCTTTTTGATGAGATGAAGTGAAAGCCCGCTTGAGAGGCTCGAGGAACCCTGTCTTTTATTGTCTGAATTGTATTAACTAAAAATATAAATAAGAGCGAACGAAATACTGTTAATCAAAATGAACTTTAGTGGAGAAAATAATAGTCACAAATAGGTAATGTAAAACTTGCGTAACCCCCGGACTGTACTGGCAGAACCCTAGGGTTCCGACAACTTCCGAGGAATCCTGACTAAAAACCACTGGTCTGTACATGAATAATGTATCTTTCATATAAAGGAAGACGCACAGAAATGCACTTTTCATCTTAATTAAGTAATTGTAAATTTGCTTGTAAATAGGTTACAGTACACTACTTGAAAGCCATTTCGAAATTTCCTTTTCCACAACTATAGCAGATTGAACACATCCATCAAAGTTAGAGTGAGTGAAACCATCTCCTGCCAATACCAGCAAGGGTTTATTTTTTGGTATCAAGCATCCATCAGAAGATTCAGTTGCTTTGGTGACTTGAGAATATCTCCATTTGTGATATTTGACATAGGTAGGTTCTGGAAGATCGGGGATAATTTTTTTAAGTTCCTCAATGATGAGTGGGCCAACTTTTTCAGCGTCTTCTTCTAAATGTGATTTTCCAAATGGTGCAGAAGTATGAACAACAATAGATTGAGTTTTCCTTTAAAAATATAAATGCTAGTATTAAAAAGATCAACAAAAAAAATTGAAGCACAAAAGGATGACAACATAAAAAATAAGTTTACATGATAGTTGAATATAATCAAAGGTAGCATGAAAAACAAGATTTGTTTATGAAGCAAGACAAGCAAATACATTTTTTCAACAGTTTCGTCAAATGTCCCTTGGGAGGAATGCAAATTTTAAATAAATATTGCACTAGAAAAAAATATACCCAATTATACTTCAGAAATCACTTCCAAGTTATAAAAAAGATTTCATCACTGGGCCCAGACTTTATAAATTTATGTGTTAACTACATCTCTGAAAAAAATAGTTTGATTTAGTGATTTACGCACATAAAAACAGGGATGGCCAATTCAAATTCAATACTCGAATATCACCACAAAACACTAAATTATTCCATACAAGATATTTTTTGGACTTATTAAAAGCCATGTCATCCATAATTTTGAAACAATTGTATCGCTCGCAGACTCTTGGCAACATCCATCACCGCATAAGCACATGAAAAACCAATCAGAAATCATATTTTCTCTCACCTTTCGATTCCTCTTTTCTTTTGATCAACAGATATAAAACAGATAACTTCATTGTCGAGAACAAATTTCGCAACATAGGGAAGATCAATATTATAAGCACCAGGTTCATAGAACAAACCCACGGCAAATCTGGAGGAATAACTTGCTCCTTCAAGATCTGAAATTTGCTGCTTCTGCAAATTGTCTGTAATACCTTCAATTCCTAAAATCTGGGGTATAGGCATTGTCAGAAAAACTGCATCAAAGTGATCATGCTTTCCACTGGTTGTTGCAGCCTCCCATACATTCCAACTTGCTTCTTGGTCATCGCTAGTAAGTCTCAGACTGTCCAGTCTAACGTTAAAACAGGTTTCTACCAAAGATTTGGCAAAAAAATGTTTTGCCATCATATTTAAACCGCTACCACAAGTAAAATTCTCACTTATCCCTTCACGAAAACCATCAATTTTGCCTTCAAGGGGTTTCAGTATTCCAGATTCCAATAATTCATTATAAAAATATTTATGTTGCTCAATATACTTGGTATGCTGTTCGACATATTGGGCACCAAGTTCAGCAGAACAGTCTTCCATTTCAGATGGTCTTGACAAAGACATTCTTCCACCAACTCCGCGAGATTTTTCCCAAACAACAATCTGACATTGAAGTTGTGTTGGAAGGTGCCTTCGTAACATATGAGCACAAAGTGCACCAGTTAAACCTGCCCCAACAATTAATACTCGAACCATGATAATATTTGTATACTGTAATTGATAAAACAATTTGGTGATTACTGTAAGTTGGTCAGATGTATATCTTGTATCATAGGGCAAAAGGTGATGATATACAGAGCAAGTATATCAGTATATTGAAGAAGAATCTATCACATAATTCTGTCATTTGGTGGACGGATGAATATTAATAATTTAATATTTAAAACATAATGTCAGATGACATAAAGTAAAAAAAATGTGAATATGTGAAAAAAATGAACCCACCCCCACTAATATTTGCGAGTGCAGTTTTAAGTATTTTGTTGCGCCTGCAGCTTCCGCAAAACCATGGCGATTTTTCCATACCATGGCCGCTACGGCCAAACCTATGGCGACTGACTTTTTAGCAGCCACAAACCAATGACAGGTTGTCGTTACCCCGGCAGCAAATTGAAAACCAATGGCAGGTAAAATTTTGCTGCCATAACCACGGCAGGTGGGTCGTAAAGACAGGGCTGTCCCTTATGGTGACAAATATTGGGTGAGTTGGAATGCTTTTCTTATGGATACAGTTTTGATGGATTTGGGGTTAGGGTTTAAGTAGATATAATTCCGCATGATCAATTAAAATCTGGTACATTAATTTGTGAATATACCGTTAATACTGATTACTGAAAAGCGCTATAAAACCATGGCAAGAGCTGCCGCGGTTCGTTCGTGGCAGGAGCTGCCATAAAGTGATAAGAACTGCGCCTCAATATTTGGATACTATTTTTTTTCTGGGGCCCATTCATCTTTATCAATGCATTCACCATTGTTCGACTAAATCCTAAAAATTTGCAGCATTATCAAACAAAAAATGAAATGAATTATGGATATTAGTCAGGGTGGGAGTAAATGGAAAAGGTCAATTTTTTGAATGCTGCAATTGGGCACTAATGACAATAATTACTATCATACAAGGGCAGATTATTCAAAATATATAGTCCAAATATATTTTTTTAATAGTTGCATATTAAATAGCTGAGCATAAGAATCAGCTACAGGAGTGGTGACTCCTCTACGGCCCATGGGCCGGGGCCTCGGCCCATCTAATTGGGCCACATGGGTCGTGGCTCATAGCTTGATGGGCCGCGGCCCCATCAGGAAAAATTCAATTATCTTAACAAAATTTTCAATTTTTACCAAATTGTCAATATTCGAACCAAAAAAATATACTCCTGTAGTATGTGTACCAGGTTAGGGTTAGGACAAAAAAAATTCAGATTTTTTACATTATAGTTCTATTATGAGTTCGGGGACTGTCTGTGTTAGCCAAGTGAATAGTTTCTTTACACAACTTGATGGGCCGCGGCCCATGGGCCGCAGAGGAGTCACCCCTCCCACTCAGACCAAGAGTTAGTATAACAAACTGATATTTGATGAAAAAGCAATGATTTTTAATAAAGCAATATGCTACATAAATGGGCTATTCCAAGAGACACTACAGGACAATTCCAGAAATTTTTCATGTTGTTAGATGCAATATATTTTTACATTTTCAGCGACATGTTTTGTTTCATTGTCCAATCAGTTGCTTTATTGAATATGGAAAAAATTCAACAAAAGTTACACCCAAGAGACACACCCATTCTTAGTGGATATAGCGCTGGTACAGCAGGAGCCCATAATATTTTCTGGTGCAGTAGCTGAAGGACCCCTCTATGTGTTGCTCAATTCCCCTAATGTAACAGTGTAAATCCATGCCAATAATGTGGATATTGTATGTGACACCACAGGACATTTTTCCACTTCGGAACAGCGGCCTCTATCATCTCTCAAAATTATGGTAATAAATCGGTAAAAGGGTGAAAAAATGTCCTACAGCACTGCAAACATTTAAACTTTATTAACTTAAATTCAATGAGTCCATTTAGACCATATGAAATAACTGTATCACACAATCAAAACACGAATCATCACAAAATATGTCAATTATACCAAAATTTCTACATTTTAGGCCATTTTTAAAACCATCAAAACCTGGGTGAAATTTTAACTTTTTCGGTGAAAGGAATGCAGTTCAATAAAATTCCAATGTCATTTGATTTAAAAAAAAAAAAAAATTACTTTCACTAGACTTAAAAAAATTGATGGAATTCAACTTTTGCTTGGAATAGCCCAAATATGGTAGTACAAATACATAAGGAAAAAATAACAAATACTGAAATAATAGCGATATAGACCTAGTCTACATTAAACCATTTACACTTAACAACAGAATCATTCCCTTACATGCAGACATGCATTATTTCCAGTTAAGTCAGTAAGTTAAACCATAGCAAATAGCTGCATAGTGTTCCATTAATGTATTTGCCAAGATGATTTGTCCAAACAGGTTAAAAGTTAATTTACCCTATAGCAGTACTGGTATGAGAGTATGCTAAATAAACAATGATTATAAGTCAGTAAGTATAAGAGGTATATATGGGCTTTGAGTAATAAGTAATAAGCGTACCGTGCGATACCCTATTGCTGTCTTGACCGCGTTCTTATTAATATTTTGACAAATTGCAGCACTCCGGTCTAACCGAATTTTGGCGCCTTTTCAATCGTTGCTAAAACAAATTGAGAACGGAAGAGTTCCCGGTCATTCCAAATAAAAGTAATTTCTCACATATGGTAAGATATCAGTTGCTGCTTGTTTCGAGCCTGGTTCGGAGCGAAACGCGCCAATAAACGTCGCATAAAGAAGAAAATACAATAAATTCGCATGTATTTGTACGTTATTATGATTCGTCGTATGCCACCTCGTGTGGTCAGTGTGAGAAAAAGACTCCAAATATTATACGGTATCTAAAATAACAGTATAATATCAATACATTCGAAACTCGATAAATATAAATGAAATTGATGTCATAAATAGATTCAAATGTTTTATAATTATTTTTCAACATACATTTTCCAGTTCAATACGCACATCTGCATACGCGGAAAACATTAGCAAAAAATAACATTTTCGTGTTGCGCAACCTAGCGGATGCAAATTACTTCCCTTTCAATTACAGTACTGGTACTGTATTTACATTTTGGTGACATTGCATATCTTTATATTTTCGTGTCTATATTCATTTGTGTAAATATGCTCTGTAACCAACATCGGTTCTTCGCGTCTCCTTTCACCGTGAACAGATAAGTTGAATTGTTATATCATTAACGTTGTATGTAACTGTAGCATACCGTACTGGTTTATTATAGTACCGTAGTTGTTATAGTGCATTACGGTATTATATGAGCTGAAGCCGGCATTATTATCAATTTTTATTACAGAAATGTCACTATGTTTTTTGAATGAATTTGTATCTGGGTGTGCCTCGGTGGTCAATGGTTCGCCATCCCTGGTCTACCTGTTATGCTGACTACTAAATGATCATTCCGAAATTTAGCTTACATATTAAGAGCTGCCTTCAGAAAGATGGTTAAAACTTTGGGCTATGTAAAGGAACTTGACATGATATGCAATAGCTTATGACCTATAAATGTTGTTTCCCATACTTAATAATTTAAAATAAACTAGACCACTTACGAGTGTATGGCGAAATCAACAAATATATATTATGGATCATCACGAAATAATGCACGTGGCAGCGTGAATAATATAAGTTATATGTTTGTTTACTTTATTGTGCATAATATATGTTTCTATTTATTTTTATTTTATTCACTTATTGAATATCTACATTGTTGGTTTGTTATTAAAAAAACTTTGGGTTCAGCCTCAGGAAGATTAAAATCGCTTCCAATAATATTATAAGTTTATAGACTATTTATTGCTTATACTAAATGTGGCAACTTGTTTCCATAATTCCACACGATATTTCTCAATTTCACTGAAATTTGCTGTTTTTATTTTCTTTATAAACAAATAACAACAGTACTGCAGTATGTAAGTGATAAACGGTATTATCGTCATTGGGTTGCAGATACTAGCATAGCATATTTTTCATTTCATTATTGAATTGTCACCACTGCATTATGACAAACCAATCGTCTACTGGAAACCATTCATGTCATTTCAAAATAAACTGGATTCAACTGCTACAGATTTATAAAACTCATACAAAATATTTTGTTATCGGTTCAAACAATGCTGAAACAAAATTCAAAGTTTTGAAAATAGATAGAAGTGAACCAAAAAATCTTGTAATAGAAGAAGACAAAGCTGAGTACACCTTGCCGCAAGTAAAAGAGATTATAGAGCGATTACATGCAGGAAATTGGGGGAGACGTCAGTCGTCATGGAGACAAAGAGGCCTTGTACAAACATTGACAGCATTTGGAATTATAGGATTCGTTCGTTTTTTAGAAGGTTATTATATGATATTGGTCACAAAGCGCTCAGTCGCAGCAGAATTAGGTGGCCACAGAATATTTAAAGTTGAAGATACTTCTATGATATATATACCAAACAGCAATGCTCGCATAAGTCACCCGGACGAATCAAGATATTTGAAAAGCTTTCAAATGGTGGATTTATCCAGCAACTTCTACTACAGTAATAGTTATGATTTAAGCAATAGTCTCCAACAAAATGTAACCTTCCAGTATGCTTGTACAAATATTAACAGTTCTGATAATGAAGATAATCTTTTGGATGCTGATACGAGTACTGCGAGCGGGTCTACCCCAGAATCTTGGCATTATGACGAGTCTGCTGAAGAGGATGGAGCCAGTAGTAACGGTAAAGAAACTAAAAATAATGTTCAGAAATTGGCAATGTGCATAGAAGCAACCCCATGCAAAAGATATATATGGAACAGTTTTTTGAAAGAACCCATACCGGAATCACTAAGTCACATAGCTTCTGATTGGACAGTAGATGTCATCCATGGTTTTCTTGGGCAGATAAAGATTAATGTTTATGGAAAGCCTGTTTATGTGACTCTAATTGCTAGACGATCGAGTTGTTTTGCTGGTACTAGATTTTTGAAAAGAGGATGTAATATTCATGGGGATATCGCCAATGAGGTGGAAACTGAACAAATTGTACATTCAGCAACAGTGACATCTTTTCTAAAAGGACATTATACTGCATATATTCAGCATAGAGGCAGTGTACCTGTGCATTGGTTTCAAGATATTACCGCAAGTGTTGTGCCAGCAAAACCCCCGATTACTATAGCAATGTCAAATCCTTATGCACAAGTTACAGGAAAACATTTCTCCCAACTATACCATCGGTATGGATCACCCATTATTGTGCTTAATTTAGTAAGAAAACACGAGAGGAGGACCCACGAAAGTCAGCTTGGCAAAGCATTCAAATCAGCGATTGATTACTTAAACCTATTTTTGCCAGTTGACCAGCAAATTATCTATCAAACTCTGGATATGGCAAATCTATCTCATTCAACCAAGTCTGATGTTCTGGTAAAACTGGCAATGATAGCAGAAACTGATTTACAACGTACTGGTTTCTTTCAGAGCAATATGCAACTTTTCCAACACACTTTGAATAAGAATCCGAAGTGGGCTGAGTTGAAAGGGGTGAAATTTGGACCATTTCGACTACAAACTGGCGTTGTTCGATCAAATTGTGTTGACTGTTTAGATCGCACAAACTCTGCACAGTTTATATCATCGAAATGTGCTCTAGCATATCAGCTGTTTTCTCTTGGATTGCTCCAAACTCCTGAAATAGAGTTTGACACGGATGCCACAAGATTATTCGAGGAGTTGTTTGAGGAACATGGAGACATAATAGCCCTGCAATATGGTGGATCTCAACTGGTACATACCATCCAGTCATACCGACAGACTGCAGTATTAGCATCTCATTCCAGAGATATTGTGACAACACTTTCTCGTTACTACAGCAATACATTCTCCGATACATACAAACAGTCTGCAATCAACCTGTTTCTTGGTATCTACAGGCCAGAAGAGCACGACTGCCCACAGTGGGATTTATCTACCGATGTTTATCTTCACAATGTTGGGGATGATATCTTGGCATCATTCGAAAACAATAATTACACTATGTGGCTGAATTCTGCATTACGATCAGTGTTACCATTGCCGTTAGATTTCGTGACGTCATTTCAAACTGCCAATTGTTTGAAGAATCATATGACAGAAATGAAATATTTCACAGCTAGTGATTCAAAAGTTGATTGGTTTAATGAATTTTACAGGTTAGTAATTGATACCATTTTTTTGCATAGCATATAATGTATGATTCTTATCAGATAACCCACTAATGAAAAGGCTTAATCATATTGCCCCTTCGTAGACCAGTGTTTTCAAAATACTGTGTCGCCATAAAGCTGGCTATGTTTTAGGTTTATGTCCAGAAGTGCGAAATTAGAGGTGAAGATTTGGGCAAAATAACTTAAATTCTTTATGTGGTGGTGGTATTTAAGTTTTGTCATGGATGTATAAACTAATGAAATTACTTTGTTATCATCTATGTTTCTTCAATATTGCAGGACTGGGGAATTAACTTCATTTGATGACCTATTTGGTCTGACCATAGTCGACTCAATGACGGGATGTTTAGCTAATGGTTACAACAATATTAGTCCCTTTGCTTTGAGAGCTGACAAATGGCAGGAAATCAAGAACCAGAATAAAGTATCAGATAGCTTGTCATCACAGAGTTCTCTAGATCAAAGTTCATCTTCTGATGATGATTCAGTTCTAGAAGTGCGATATACCGCTGATGACATTGTCAACGTTGCAACAAAATCAATGTTGAAATATCCTGTTCCATCTGACCCCATCAACCCTCTAGATGAGTTTTCACCCAGAGAATCATATGGGGATAAAATATCGTGGACTCCTTCAAGGAAGGACCTGAATTTGTATCGACGGTATATTGCTGTTGAGGACATTCATAATAAATTCATTCCCAATTCGGTCTTCAGCCAAGACAGCATTTATCATGTTGAACCGCCCACAGTAGGTCGACAGTCTCGACAAATATATGAAAAAAGTGTAGCCTGCTGTACCCAATATCCTACAACCCTGCTGACCAACTACAGAGTTTATCAAGATTACGTTAATTCCGTGGGAGAAATGCATTAGCCTTTGCTGTAATCTTTTTACTTTTTGTGTAAATGTGCAATAATCTGGATTGATTTCATCTATTTGCTCTGTGTATTTTTTCGTCAAACTTTGTCCTGTACTACACGTTCTTGGGGAATATAAGTGCAAATTTCAATGGTTATCGTTCAGATAATATTTTATGCCAGGTTTCTTCCACTTTGGGAATCTGTAGTACTTCTTCCAATACTCCAACCAAATGAATTGGCGTGGCTGTTTATGGAATGACATACGGTTCCGATTGTTCGTTTATGTGACAATAAGGATTTATCATACAACTGTCAATGAAATTTATTTAAGAAAACATAAATCTGCACTGAATTTATATATTTATGAGTAGACCATGGCAGTTGGTGAAATTATAATGTAATGTCCAATAATAGCCCAACTTCTTGTGAAGTTTTTTTTAATTGGATCCACTATCTGGGGATAAGGATATTGGTTTGGATTAAAGTAGAAATTAATGCTATTCGAAAAATATGTATGTGGATGATAAAAATTGTAGTTTTATGACATTCATGTATCTTATTGAAATAAACTGAATTAATAAGTCTGAAATACAAATGAAACTCCATCCATATAATTTGAATACAGAAGTTTCCTATGTTGGCTGAAGAAGGCTTATTTGCCAAAACCAACATATGAACAACTGGCAACTACGGTAAATTTCTGACATAAGCTACATATAAAGTCATTTCATACCAAGTACATAATATTATTACAAAAAGGGATACAAAGCACAACATCGAACATTACACATATACATCACAAGTGAAATTAAAACTGAGCTGGTCTGTCAATGATAAAATTAAATTTCATTACGTTATCCAAGCTTTACTAATAATAGGGCGTGCTACATGCAATGCATAAATCATAGCAGAACAAATAGATGACATTTTGCCGGACAGCATGTCCACAAGCAGAATTCATACATTTTCCAACACCCCAGCAGCATAACTTACTGAGCTGTCTCTCTGGTGCTTACATTTGCTAGATTGTTTATAATCGAGAAATTTAAATGTGAATTTTGGTTGTGATTGATTTTGCAACGCTTCGACTGCATTGAGCAATACACCAATTGGATGACGTCCACATATTGTATTACCGTATTGCTTAAGATATTTATGGAATTTCGTTGCATCCAGCTCCTCAATGAATTTCATTCCCATTTTATCCAAATGTTCAATAGACTTGTATATTTCTCCATATTTTTCATCAAAGTATGTGTATTTGAAGCGTTGACCCCAGTGACAAAAGTCAGAAGAGATCACAAATAAATTTTGTGGATCGGCCAAATAACTGCTGAAGATCTCGCCATATAGCTTCTCGGCGTCTCTATCAAGACCTCCAACTAGCACAGGCACAATTGTGAATTTATCTTTGGATTTTTCCATAACTTTTGCAATATAAGGAAGTTGCATTTCAATACTGTGCTCATCTTCATCGACTTGCTTTGTCATCGAGGTGAATTTGTTAGTTTGTTTCAATTCTGCATATATTGCTTGATCTATTGTCAAAGAATACAAAGGTGTTTCATACTTTTGTACAGAGGATAAAGCGCATCCAGGAAGATAAACATGATGCGATGGTCCTAGAATGAATATTCGTTTTATATTTTCATGTTCAATTTGTCTGTAAGCATGTGCTGCAGAGGAACCACAATAAGAATATCCAGCATGAGGTGAAATAATTGCACGAATTTGATTTCCCACTTTTTGGGCATTATTTAGCCATCCAACCAGCTGTCGATCAAGATCTTCTCTAGAATTGACATACCAACTTCCAGCATGAGAAGCAATTCTAGTGGTCATGTTGATTTTTATACAAATTATTTGTTAATAAAAGTTTATTAGTCAGGTAGGTATGATAAGAGCCTATGCTTCTATCGGTCAGAAACTAAAAAATATAATACCAGTATAAATAATTCATGAATAACCAGTTGGATGAGAATTGAGAATGAACTGCACCAAAATTCAGAACAAAACACGGTATTGTACAAGCCATTTTTATGCTTAGAACTGTACCGGTACCGGCTGACCGGTAACATATTTTACTTTAGGCTGCAAACGAAATATTGAAGAATGGAATGTTACGCACCGTCCAGCTTTTCACGCATTCTAGTCTATACGTCCGTGATGATAAACTAGCCCACTACCGCTAACCTTTGAGCACCAAATCGTCACCGGCATAGGCTAACTCCCCTGTCTGCCTGTTAGACAATGGACATGAGAGATAGCGCGGGTCAGTGACGGGAGGAGGGTTGGTAGCATAAAAGTCATATTGGGGATGGCAAAATAGGGATGGCAAAATACGGTCGAAAGGTGGCAGATTAGGGATGGCGAAATAGGGACGAAAAGCCAAATTGGGGATGGCAAAATGCGGTCGAAGCGTGGCAGATTAGGGATGGCGAAATACGGTCGAATGGTGGCAGATTAGGGATGGCAAAATGCGGTCGAAGCGTGGTGGCAGATTAGGGATGGCAAAATGCGGTCGATGGCTGTCACTTTTTGCCAAATCGACTGTCATAATGCGCTGTTTAGTATACAGATAACAATAAACAATTGCCTCAAAATTACAAAGAAATATGGCCAAAGTGTTTAGATTTGGGGGCTGATGAAATGGATTAGTACCTGTCAAATTCGGGCTGGGAAAACACAGTCGATGAGTGTCAAAATGGGATGGCGAAATGGGGTCGAAGCGTGGCAGATTACGGATGGCGAAATGCGGTCGAAGCGTGGCAGATTAGGGATGGCAAAATGCCGGTCGAAGCGTGGTGGCAGATTAGGGATGGCAAAATGCGGTCGAAGCGTGGTGGCAGATTAGGGATGGCGAAATACGGTCGAAGCGTGGCAGATTAGGGATGGCAAAATGCGGTCGAAGCGTGTGGCAGATTAGGGATGCCGAAATACGGTCGTAAGCGTGGCAGGTTAGGGATGGAAAAAATACGGTCGAAGCGTGGAGATTAGGGATGGCGAAATGCGGACGAAGCGTGTCAAATTGGGGGTGGCGAAATAGGGTCGATTCCTGTCAGGTTAGAGATGATGAAATATGGTCGATGCGTGTCAATTAAAGGAGGGCGAAATAGGGCAGTGGGTTTGACGGGTGTCATGTTAAGGATGGCGAAATGCGTGTCAGATTTGGAAACGAACATTGTCAAATTTAAGGAACTAATCTGATCAGTGTTTCAAATTTTAAAATTCATTTAAAAGATATTGTCCGATTTTACATCTTGTCTTTATTTTATGATTAATTTTAATGTTTTACATATTATTACATTTTTCTCATCAAGTCTTGAACATTTTTTTATATTTTTCTGATTAATAATTTTAATACAATCTTTTAATGTTTGATATATTATTACGTTTCTCTCATCAAGTTTTGGGTACTCCTGAAGTATGCGCACCAAGATGTCGCACAACCTGAACCCTAACCTGGTACACAACCTGAGTTCAGGTTGTGCGCCAGCTTGTTGCGCATATTTCAAGAGGTCTTCATTGGCTGGCATAGCATTGTGGATCGTGCCATCATTTATGAGGTCATATGTTTTCGTCATGGAAATTTCAATTTTTCCCTGGTATTATTGTCCCTACAATTTTTTACGCCACCCCCGAAGCCTGCGATATTTCTATTCCAAATACTGTTATTAAACAATTCTTTTCAATTACAAATACTTTAAATTGCTCAGTATATATGTAGAAGAATCCTGTTTTGCTTTAAAATATTTTTGGCATAATTCACGATCACACTGCATGAAGAGTTCATTCTCCGTGTTTCGTTAATTTCAATTCTCAAATTTCTTTCGAAGTTAATTGGTTTTATAATTTGAATATAACCTTTGATGTAAAGATGTGTTCGATATATTATGCTATAAAATGATTTTTATGATATTGGGTGAATTCCTATCTAGGGGAGAGTCTTTGAATAGGAATATCGTGTAGTATTACTCACTTTTGTATAATATTATTCATGAAAACGCGACAAACTATTTGAACTGCGTAAAAATGAAAAATGCGACTTTTGTATAACACTGGCAAAGAATCTACAAAAGGCAAGGTAATTAAACATAGGGATTTTGGTATAAACAGTTCAAAAACCAACTAATAGAAGATTTCAACACAAAATGTTGGAACCACCAAATTCATCCATTTTATCGTTTTTCAGAAAGAAAATGTCGAAGAATAGTTTGACTTTTTAGGAATCTTCTTGCATGCTTTACTTCTTGAGGAACATAATTACCATTACTTGGTACCAGAATCCAACCCATGTCTTACTGGATAGCGAAGGAGCAACTATAAATTAATGTGTTACGTGTAACGCAAGTCTTGTTCTCTGTTGCAATTGAATTCCAAGGAAAGACGCATTTGCGAGGGAATTTTTCGTGCTGTTTGGAATAGGGTGGGTTAGACCTTGATGCTATATATATCCGCATTGTTTAATATTTAATGGTGCTTATAACTGCGTAGTTTCGTGCACCGTTATTTCGCGTTCAAATGCGTTTGATGAGGTATTAATTTTGAGCTAGTAATACGTTCAATATTCATATCTAATGATTGTAATATTTGTTTGGTGAGTATAAGATACAAAAAGCCTTTCTAGATTTTCAATTGAAATCAAATGAAATTATACTTTCAAAAACTTATAGGCGAAATGTTTTGAAAACATTCTGCGCTGAGCAGGGTCTCTATAATTGTAGCGGACATTTAGCGAAATAAAGCCAGTGAAATACTTCCCTGAATATTCGACATTTACACTGGAGTCAAATTACTACTAATCTGCAACTGAAAATTTTCACCTAATTGTTTTTGAAACTTTACAAAACAATCTCAAACATTTGATGGTCAGAAAACGCTAATGTTTCATGTAGTAGTCAGGGACACGCAATTGATGGGTTAGTCTAGCAGGAATGGCGAACCTTTTTAAAGAATTGGGTCGAAAATTATTGTTGTATTGTAGAAAAGAAGACTGTGGTTCGTAGACAGGGTTGTCCAAAACGAATCAAATATTCGAATACATTTTCGGCTGATTTTCGAATAATATATAGTCTCTTTTCATCGTAAACCACGGTTTTCATTTTTGCGGGAATCTTCAAACGATTTTACACATTCATTTCCATTACGTCAAGAAATTGAAAGATTATTCAATGTCGTAATTGTTATGATACCCAATAAATTGTCGCAAGTCGGAAAACAAGTCGATTTATTAGAGAAAATAATCAATACTTTTTCCCGCTTTATGGCAAATAATTTTGATAATGATATTTGAAAGTTTCCGACTTTTTACTGGGATGATTTTCTGTTGTGCAAAATTATTCATATCCATGACCGATACCAGCATATAAATTATTATGCGTTATTAATTTAGTTTTGTTTAACGTAACTTATGGTTGCGACGACAATTTGTGAGCATAAAATGTGTAGTGAACTGCCCGATATTATTCATTTTTGATTCCTATTTTCGGATTTACTGAATAATAAAAGTATTATTACTCTGAAATCTACTGGAATTTGTGGACTTAAAATGTGTGGCAAGGTGCCCGAATATAATTAATTTCTGATCGTATTCACAAAATTAATATTACTCAAAAATACACTACACTGACTTAAAATGTGTGGTAAAGTGCCCGAATATAATTAATTTTTTATTCGTATTTACAAAATAATAAAAACATTATTACTCCAAAATACAACGGCAATTTGTGGGCTTAAAATGTGTGGTAAAGTGCCCCGAATATAATTAATTGCTGATTCGTATTTTCGTATTCACAAAATAATAAAAGTATTATTACTCCAAAATACAACGGCAATTTGTGGGCTTAAAATGTGTGGTAAAGTGCCCGAATATAATTAATTGCTGATTCGTATTTTCGTATTCACAAAATAATAAAAGTATTATTACTCCAAAAACAACGGCAATTTGTGGGCTTAAAATGTGTGGTAAAGTGCCCGAATATAATTAATTGCTGATTCGTATTTTCCGTATTCACAAATAATAAAAGTATTATTACTCCAAAATACAACGGCAATTTGTGGGCTTAAAATGTGTGGTAAAGCGCCTGAATATAATTAATTTTTGATTCGTATTTTCAGACTCTTGGAAGAATTGTCCCAAGTCGGAAAAATAATTTATACTTTATCCCGCTTTTTGGCAAATTAATTTGAATAATGGTTGGTATTTGAAAGTATGAACTTTTTATCAGGATGATTTTGTGTTGCGCCAAATATTCAAATCCATGACCGATACCACTATTTCAAATGCCTTGCCATATTAATTTAAATCTGTTAACGTAACTAACTCATGATTACGTCGACTTATAAAAGAATAAAGCGTTACTATCCTAAAATATATATCGCAGTAATCTGTGAATATGAAATGCTTGGTAATATAGCCAGTTATTCCATTGTTTATTGCATGCAAATTCCTTCGCATATTATAGATAGGGGTGGGGCAAAATCGAATATTTTTTTCGAATCGAATAGTTCGAATATTTTTAACGAATACCGAATGGTCGAATAACGAATATTTTTTTATACACAACAGGAGGTCTACAACGTCGGTCGATACTCCCTTTGAAAATTAATAAAGACATTGAAAAATCGGCTACAAAGCGTTTTTTACTGGTTAATTTCGTCATAATCATGATTGTTTTTGTCACCGTGACCGTTTTTGCGGTGATATATAATCTATAATACCGCCTTTTCTGTTATTTGCAAGTATTAATTCTTTCGCGTCGGCGGACATCGACGTTTATATTTCGGGTTTACCCGTGCGTTCACGTCGGCCAACAGCTGTTAAAACCATTAGGGATTGATGTAAAAACCCAAATTAATATTATTCTAATTTTTATCATTTGCGTTAGCTTTCATATTACTTATCAACGTTTGTAAATTTACCGTCACAATATTAGGCGACGGTGATATTATTATCGATACGGGATGCAGATATTTATTAAGACAATACCGTAATTAACTTTGCTATGCTTTCTATGGTGTCTATGTTACTTTACAGAATAAACCTCGCA